GAATTATCTTGATGGCTAATTTGACAAAAGTCAACTTTATTTTCTAATCGTTTTTCAATTGTTTTCTATTTGTTATCAATAAAATATTTGTGAGATTTGCAGAGAATAATTACATGGGTTGTTGAATAAATAATCAGTTAGTTGATCACCAGGTATGACTGTAGTATCGCAAACAGACTACGCATATCTTTTTTCATGCTGTTTTTGGCAAATTATCCGATGCTGACTTTGTTAAATGCCAAAACAAAAGAGTTTCAAATGCAACTAATAAGAATTGGTTTTTCGGAGTACCCTATCGCGATATAACTGGACATTTCAGTTTTTAAGGTTTGTTTGTAGTATTATTATGTTGCTTCCTCTGTTGTTAGTCATGTATTAATCATTGCGTTTGTATATTACCCTATTACCCTATTGTATAAAAGCAGCAGAATTTTCAAATGACAACGGCTACCATGGAAATAGCAAAAATGGGGAAAATTTCCGAACTTAATGACACTTTACAGAATTGTAAATGTGCTATCTGAATTTAAAATTTTCAAAATGGCTGCCGTAAACATGGAAACAGTAAAAATGTAAAGAAAAATGAAAGGCTTTAAACTTATTGAAACTTTACAGAAATATTACCCTGCATTTGTAGATGTGGAATTTGACTTTTGGACGAACACCATAGGCTGGAAAATATGATATTTTTCTTTTTTAAGAATGGAAAGAAGGTAACAATAAGAAATCTTAAACGATTTCATTGTCATAGAAAGTTTTCAGTTGTCTGTCAGCACCAGTATCAAGAAATAAATGTGGATTTGAAGAAACATTCATGTTTATGTTTTATCCTTTATTTTAAGGTCACCGTTATTTTTAAGATGTTAGTATTAACTGTAAAATTGAAAAGATATTGAATGGATATACACTATCTCAAATGAACAGAGATTAAAGAGTCGGCTAAAGCCTATAATGTGAATCCTCAGTAATTTATTTCTTAAAAAGCAAAATAAGTGCTGAGTTATGTGTTTATCAGGCATCCGCGACTCGGAAATTATTTTTTTTTCTTGACATTCAATTTCTTGTAAATTCGTTTCAATCAGGCAAAAGATACTTGGATATGAAAGAACATACTACATTCAAGAAAAAATATTAGTTCTAGTTTTTGGACATTTGAAATACGATTGTTGTTTAAAATTGACTATAAGATTGATAATTGGTCTTGTAAATAGTAAGGACATGGCGGTTAGAAATAACCTCGTAATAAAAAATATTTTGACATCTTATAATTTCAACGAAAGTGTAGCATGACATGAAACAGCACCAATCAGAAATAATTTTGAGCTTGGCGAATTAGAATATAAAAATAAATTACAAAACGCATATTTGGTCTTGTATGACGTATTCTAAAATATTGCATATTGCTTATTAACTTATTAAAGTGTAATACTGGAGTCTATGTTTTGTCAATGTTAAGTGATGATGACCCAAAGAATGTGTATATGCAAAAATGATTTTGTATTTACTGGGACAGAAATCTCCAACCACAACGCGATCGATGTTTTCAAGTACATTTATACCCAGTATGTTGCTTTCAAAATAAAATTTCAATTGAATTTTACTTCCACAATGGATCGATACTACTTCAGGTGGACCGATAGTAGTAAGTGCTACGTTACATTTTGTTTTATAACATACTGAATTCCAAAATAATTCTGTCGATAAATTTAGTAATACATCTAAAACTAGTAGGCTTTAGATCTTTATTTAGCTATTCTGTTAAGGTAGCACAATACAAAGATTTTATACCTCCAACTCCCCAGTTTTAAAATGCTGTAACTTTCTTTATAATGCTTGAAAATTTATAAAAGTGGTATTTATGGATAGCTAACAGATTACTCTTTCAAATTAATGCAATGTTAGTATTATACAACAATTATGTAATTAATTATAATTTTAACTGTGTCTAAAACATTTTACCAGGATTTTCCACTTTCAATTGAAATTAGCTTCTTCATGGATACCCCGAGAGGGTTGATTTTATAATGGATTGTTCCTAGAGCCATTATCTACAAAAGGGTGTCTCAGATTTTGGATAGAATGTATAGATCAAATTTTACACCTAATCAAATAATCTCTACTTTTATGTGGTAAGGATGTTCACACTAATTACAGATTTATGAGAAAATGGAATACGATAGCGATAATTTGAGACACCCTTTTGTAGCTCCTGCTGTGTTGATTAAGATAACGTTAACATTTCTTGTGTAGTTATAGAGATGTCAGAGCTAAATTCATTCAAGTGAACTGACCAAGATTTTGCCATTAATTGCATAATAATTGATTACATAATGATTGCATAACAAAAATATTGCATTCATTTAAAAGATTAATCTTTTATCTATCTATATATATACCTCTTTTATTAATTTGTATGCAGTCATAAGAAAGTAACATCATTTTAAAGGTTGGAGATTGGAAGTAAAAAAATCTTTGTATTGTGCTACCTTAAGGCCCCTTTCTGTCATGTTACTTTTCAAATATTCATACATCCTTTTATTTTATAGTTTGTGAGCAATCCTAAAGAAGGTAAACCGATAAAAACGCCTTAAACGCATCAAATTCTTAAAAATAACAACATGGTTAATATTCGTGTAATTTTGCTTCTGTGGTACTTTTTATATATGATTTAAGATTAGTTCCATGACATGTGATTAATGCAGAACGTTATTTATCATAATACAAATAGTAATATAGGTGAACAATAGAAACATAGTCGTCAATCAAAATTAAAAGTGGTAAACAAACCAATAAACAACTAAAATCAAAATAATCAAATCTCTATTTTTTGCTTTTATGTTTGTAATTTTCAAACCGTATCCTTTAGGCAAGAGTATTTGTTATCTCTTCTTTGCTATACCAGTTAACACAGATACATGCATTTAATATTTATATCATAAAAATCGGTAATATTCTCTGAATCAATAGCAAGAACCTAGCCGCACATAAACATATTCAAATTCTAAAAATATTTTATCGCAATAAGTAATGGATCAAATACAATTTCTTCTAGTTTTTAACGTCTTCAGGGCGACGGACATGCTTCGATTGCCGAAGCAGACAACAAAAACCTTATATCCTCGTTGTTAACTTTTCATCTGATTTGTACTTGTTATGAGTAACATCATGGGTACAAAGAGAAGAACAGAAACTACATATTCCTAGATTATTTAATAAAATGAAATTTAAAAAAAAATTACCAATTTCTTAAAATGTCATGTGGGAAAATAAAGTGTTCCGTTATGTGTAAACCATTCAGAACAGGAATAATTGGATTGTATTTCAGTTTCTTTTTAGTGTACACAAGGTTCTGGTATTCATTCTAATAATACCCATACTAGCAGTGTATCAGTGAATAATGAAGCCATGTTTTAAAACAAACACTTAAACTTTAATCCAGTTGCACATCCGGAATCACCGACAATTATATAGACCAAACAAACCATCACTTGCGCAACCTGTTTTTAAAACCTAACAAGTATATCAAAATTCATACAACTTTGAACCTACTTATGCTTCACGTATGCAATACTCTCATTTAAAAGAAATACACAGAAACATCAACTATACTCAAAGTGTGAATAGGGAATGTCCTGTTCTCGCAACAAGCTCTTTACGTACCTCGCAACAAAACCATCGCAATTTAGGAGAAACCACCCAACATTTAACAAGCCGCCTTAGTCAAATATATGTCACAGTACCACTTCACTCACTTCCATATCACATATCAAAGAACAAATCTTGGCCAAACCATCATTGCAAAATCTCAATCATCCAAACAGTCGATATGGAAGCTCTCCACATAATAGGCACATTGAACAAAAGCCCGGCTCCCAACTTTAATATACGGGCTAGATATTAAAATAAAACCAATATGGAAAAAAATAGATAATTTACTTAAACGAATCATTAAGCAAATTCTATCTCTTCCACAAAACTCTCCAGATGTGGTACCGTACATAATATCTGAGTTGATACCAATAGAAAAACGGATTCATCTTAGAATACCGACATGTGTATGCAATTAATTTCTACTACCGGAGACCTCCACAGAGAAACAAATTGCTAGGAGGCAGTTCTATCTTAAATCAGTACATAGCAACTCATGGTTCAACATTGTCAAAAAGATAATCTGGAAATATAATCCTCCAGACATATATCTACTTTTGGTCTTCCAATATTGGAAAGATCAAATGACAAGTTAAGCTAAACTTTACAAACATCTGGGATACTTTAATTTAGAATAATATAATTAAAAAAAACAACACAATCAGCTCAAGACTCGTATAGTATACGAAAATTTAGTACGGGGATCCTATATATTTCAAACAAATCGTTCAAGATTCAATCAGAACCAAGTAGATGCAAAATGCCATTTATGTAGAGAAGGTAACAAAGATCTAAAACATTTTCTACTCAGCTTAACCTTATTAGAAAAAAACACGGCAGGTTACAACCCAACATGTAGGAATATAACTATATAAAACCTGCAAATTGAAACTAGCAAAGATATCCTTGTGTCGTAAGCATCAGATTCTGTAGTTATGCATAGTATTCCAGATTTTTTTTTCTGATCTTTCTTAAAACTTTTCAAGGGACTGACAAGACTGATAAATGTTGACATCTATGTTTAACTGTTGAAACGACAATTTTTTCTTGCATCCGAGAGAATAACTGTTTTGAAAACACTAAATCCTAGGAGAAAAACAAAGGCATTGTATAGATAATTCATATAGGCCCTCTAGCTCAATTTTGAGTTCATATGATTCCCCCGGTTTTGTCTTGATTTTGTGAATTCTTAATAGATTTAGGATTTAAAACGCGAAAAACTACTGTTGCCTTTTATTTTCCAAAGAGCAATTCACACAAATAATGAAAGCAGAAAAAAACATTTGCAAATAAATCTCATAATTTTTTTTTTATTCTTATAATTAATTTATTATATGTTAATGAGACAGGAATTAAGACAAGCTAAAAACATCTTTTTACATTTTGTTTACATGAACTTGCAAAATTTATTCTACACCAAAGTCATTATATAAAATATGCAAACTGTGTCTCTCTTCCTGCGGATTTCTCTCGGTATGACTGGGTATACAAACATGCGTACAGTGTTATATGTTAAATTTTTAGTTATTTATCGTACATTAGATTTTTGGTTCATTTTTGACGTTCCAATTCTGAGCAAAGAAAGTATTATATATATGATAATTACTGAACCGTATTAAATAAATTAAGAGAAAAAGACACATAAAGTTAAAGCAAGAAAAAAAATAAACATCAAATTAAATACATGAAATAGTAACTAGATGATGCGATGTCACATCTTATAGTTCTGCTTTTACAGTTAAATGAATTTTAAAGTAATCACTTTCTGCTTTTTTTTCTTCTTAAAAAATGTAGGTGTATACCAAGGAACAATACAAAAAAAAAACACAGACGAAGTATGAACTAAACCACCAAATAACAGAAAAGCAAGAATCTACTAAATACAAATGAAAAAACAAAAATTGAGCAAGTGAAAGTCCTAAAAACGGGATGTTAACTCAGAAGTTCCGAATATATAAGCAGTTCTTAATCCGCCAGTTCAATATTTCGAATCTATAAAATTCCAGGCTATACGTTTTCCCGTTATTGATAAATATTTGAATTTCGTTTTATTATATTTGCTGAAGGCTTCAATGTTCGTGGATTTAGGATACAATGCCACTAGGCATTTCAACTTCATATTCAGAAGTTCAATAATGGATAGCAAAATGATGTTGATAAATAGTTATCTGCATTAAAACTACAAAATGACTATTCAAACTTTTACTGAGATTTTGAAATCATAACGACAACCAATTGTTAATGTTTGCTTATTTTTTCCTATTGGTTACCTGTAACAAGAAGCAGAAAGACCATAATAATAAGAATATACATTTATACCTATAGCGGTCGAGGTTATGCTGCTTGTCCGACACACATGAGGTCAGATTGAAAATTGAAAAGCACACCTTTAAATGTTCTTCTTTTTTTCTTTTAGTACACGATAACAAAAATTGAAAATTGAGATTGCTTCTTTTCGCAAGCAGCAAAGGAAATGTTTTGACTTGTGTAAAAGGATATTATTTCAACGGGTAATATTTTAAAACGGTTTTTATAAATCATATCAGTACCAAAAACACTGACTTCTTTTCTAATAGTCCACCAGCGTTGGTATTGACCAAGTGCTAGTAAATGCATTCAAAACTTCACGAAAAATGGAAAGATCATTAAAAGTCTCTTAATTTTTTCACTACATGTCTGTTTCAGCTCTTGACAAATTGTATCGAGACACTTCTGCTGTTAAAGACCATATGCTGACCTGCACATAACTGTTTGATTTTAGTTATATAGCTGCAGTCACGCGATTATCGTTAAGAACTTGTTATTTGACGTGACCATCTGTTCTTCCTTGAAGGAAATATACTGTTCTCTAGATATTCAAATTATTGGTTAAGGTAGTCATCAGAATACAGCAAACAATAAACATTCATGTTAACATGACAAAAAGTGTAATAATTCATTCTATTTTGATAATAAATCTTCGTTCCATTAGATTCGTTTTCACTTACTTTGATTTATAACAACACGTACATATGATCCAACCTCCATTTAAAGAACTAAGCTGGTGTTGAAAAAAATATTTTATTTTCGTTTCCGTGTACTAAAAGAAGACATTCCATTTTCAAAATTCCTACAGGAAACAAAACCAATTCTGCTAATAAATATGTGTACAGTTAAAAGTATAGAATCAAAAATGATTGAAAAATATTCAAACGACAGTATTTTCTTTCATACGATAGAATAACTCTTTTGAAAACACTTAATCCTAGGAGAAAAATAGGGAAACGAAGGGCATTGTATAGATTATTTATATAGGTACCATTTCCCAAACAATAAAACAATAAAAAAACAATGATATAACAAAAATGAAAATTTGAAGAAGAAACTTAAGATAGAGGCTGCTAGGAGCCCGAATTGCTCACGCTGCAAAATGTACAGTCAAACTTAAGCAACAGTGGCAGTCATTTTTCTAACACAAAGTATTATGGTTAACTGGTTTGATAAATGATATGTTGTTTCATTTAAAAAAATGTGAAGTCATTTGAGAACAAAGATGCTTACAAGGAGTCAATTTACGACATCCGTCACTGTATTTTCTTGTACATATTGTCTTGTAAACTACAAAATGCAATAGCCAAAAATAAAATAAATCTTTAGGTAAAAAGTCATTTAAAGTTATTATTCCCTGTTAGAAGTCAATCGACAATTTCAGTTATGGAATCCTATGTTGCTGATAATTTCGCCCTCAATCCAATAATTATCAAGATAATGGCAACAATCAAAAAACGCAAAAGTTGGTTTGTACTCATATAAGATGTCAATTAAGGATTTATGACGAAAACACAAAATGGATACTAATTGAGGTTTAAGAACATTTAACTACTATAAAAGAAGAATAACATTTTATTAATTTCGTGCGGCCTAAGCGATTTTCTGAACTTACCTACAGTAGGAAGGAAATGGAGAAATGTTAAGAGCTATATAACAAATATGGACCACTTTTGTTAAAAGAATATAAAAATCAGCTGTCAGCTTTACAAGAAGGAGTTGGAACCATAGTTTCTTAGTATTTTTTTAATATATCAACGGGGGATTTTTAGAAGAATATTTTATAAATCATGTCAAAAACGAATCACTGATTTCTGAGCTGATACCATCGGGATGGTATTGATCCAGTGCTAGTAATCTAAAATAAGGAAAAGATTTATAAATTCGGTATAAGTTAATCATTGGTCATCAGAACTACAATAAATGATTAAAAAAAAAATATAAACGCCATACATCATGTTCTCTGTTAAAACCTTGGATAAAGCCGACAAAGATGGGCATCGCTCGACTATCGAAATCTATATGGTATTTGGTCGAGGGATCCAGGGCACTGGACGGAGTAGTGGTGTTGTTGCCACGATGCCATTAATTTCAACAGAATTTGGTTTTTCAAATTTGCCAAACCTAAATGTTCACATATGAAGCTATAATACTATGAATTAATGTCAAGATTTATAGACTGATCCTGGTGTGAATATTTTATATTATATCGTATTTGAACATTTTTTTACTTCTCTTTTGGAAGAAGTGTCATAGGATGCTTTGTACAAACAAAATTCATATTCATTTTTCTTGTCAGTTAAATCAGCATTTATGGAACAATACGGGTTAAGATAGTCAGATAACGAGCGAAGTGACCGTGAGGAAGAGTCTCCAGCACTTGAACTAGATGATTTGTTATCAGTGACAGTTTCAACAGTTGTAATTTCTATTGTAGTCACAGCCATTCCCCTTGGTACATTTTGATTAGGAACGATTTCATCTTGAAGTTCGCCAATTGTTTCATACTCTGCATCATAGGACCGGTTTGGTGGTCGATTTTCAGAATTTGGATTGGCAGGTGCAAGATGTGCTGCTCCGTGACATCGTCTGTATATAACAACAGTACTTGCCAACAATAAACAGAGAATCACAAACGATGAACCTGAAGCTATAATCTGTAAGAATGGTATTTGTTGTCTGTCGTCATTATCTAGTAAATACAATTGATAATTATTTAGTAATGTATTATTTAAAAGTGTCGATAAAGTCTCGAACAGTATTGCTTACACTAAATACTACCAATGTTCTAAAATAGTGACGGTGTTTATATGATGAACAACTAGATGCTAATTGGAACAAAATGATGCATATTCTAAGAAATGTAAAGTAACAACTGACAATTGTCAAGTTGGAACTGAGAATTTTCAAGTTGGAACTGAGAAATGTCAAGTTGGAAAAAGAAATGCTAAGCTTGAAGTAAGACATGTCAAGTTGAAACTGAGAAATGTCAACTTGGACTGAGATACATGTATTTCCATTTGAAAGAGAGAAATGTTAACTTGGAACTGAAAAATAACTAGTTTGAAGTTCAAAATGTCAACTTGGAACTGAAAAATTGAAATATCTAGATGGAAGTAATAAATTTCAAAATGGAAAATAAAAATTATCAAAATGGAATGTCCCCACCGGTCTTTCGTTAAAATATTTATTTCCAAATAAATGAAGATAATTTGGATCTGTAAGGTAAACAAATATATGCTTACAATTTGTATATGAAACAATAAAAATTCGAGCGGACATGTTAAAAAGACAACAAACATGTCATTTTATCATTGATACGTTTTACAAATATTTTAGACATGTGCCCTAGTGAATTATTTTGAAAGTCAACCGACTCCCCTCGTCAAAACAGCATTCATGATATTCCAGAAAGGAAAACTACCAGAAAAATCGTCTGATTTGCACATTTACCGATTACGCCTTATTCCATGTTGTGATATTTTGACTGTGTGGTGTATGCATAGCATGTGACGCTTACCCTGTCTAGCTCAGTTTTGTGTTCATATGATTTCCTCTGGTTTTGTGGGTTTTTTTTTACTTGATTGTGTGTATCTTAATGAATTTACGAGATTTGAAGCTCGGCAAACTAGTGTTGCCTTTTATTTTGCAAAGAGCAATTAAAAGACAAATTATGGAAACTGGAAAAAAAATGCAAAACAGTCACTTAAAACATAGATGCTGTCATTGTTTTGTTCTTACAATGAATTTATACGTCAATGAGACAGGAATTCAGACAAAAACCATCTAGAAGTCAACGTAATTTACAATTTGCAATTTTTTACATGAACTTTCCAAATTTATATTGTGCCGTTTTTACAGAGTAATTAATATGTAAATTATGCAAAAGTTGTCTCTCTTCCTGTGGATTTCTCTCGATATGATTGTGTCAACCAATGTGCGTTTGTATTTTCGTAAAAGAAAATGTGATTCCTTTTTAATGTACTGTCTCATATGTTCGTTCACCTTTGAAATTTTTTGAATTTTATTCGTTTCAGATATGAAATGGTCGATTATTTTACTATAAATATATTGTTAGTCAGGTATGAACACTTATTGACATACACCATGTCGATAATTATATGTTGGCATTGCAGAGGAGCATGCTTTTAATGTCTTTACACTAAATCCCCTGGACTGGTATTTCAGCATGCATGTTAAAACATATTTATGCGGAAGTAGTGAGCTTTGGAGTAGCCTTCAGTAACTGCGAGTACTCTTAAAAAGGTGCTTTTGTGTGTCTTTCTTCTTTTGTTAGTTGTTCTGTGCTTCGTGTTGTTCTGAGGAGGTAAGTTCTGGCTGCTTATATATATACGGAGATTTGGCATGTTCCGTAGACGTATACATCAGAAAAATAAATTGATATTGGATAATTTATTCCCATGGCAACATCTCAAACCAATTTTAATTAGAATTCCTATAACCTGCTGTCCTCGTCGCTTGCTGCATTATTGGGAAATGATAACATAATATGGCAACTCTGTTATTAGTCAAAGATGTTGCAAGTAGGAATGGCAAAGTTGCAAACCAAGTTTATTCCTCAAGAATGACAATTTATAGACTTGTGGTTCGACTTAGGGACACAGGCACACCATCTGATTGCCTGCATTCCGGAAGACTTCGAGCGACGAAGTTATATCAGGACAGGCAAATTCGTCTGATGCACCTGCGTGAATTCAACAGCTACAGCCAGGCGTATACCCGGAACAGCCAAGAACAGATGGCCGAAATCGCCTGTGTCAGTGTGGCCTTCGAGCAAGTCGTCCAGAAAAGGGAGTAAATTTTTGCAGTGTTTGTAGAGGAGATAACTAAAATTCCAGTCGTTGCCTGCATGGAGGCTGTCGATTACTAAGGCGCACATACACGCACGTTTAATAAGGTCTTCAAGTAATAGCATGCATGAACTTTAAACAAAATGAGTCTATTAAGCGTGATACAGGATGTTCTGTAAATTTTAAGTTTTGTTACGTCTTAATGAAAACGGCATGACAATCCTTAGGTTCTTCAAATCTATGGTAGTTTTTGCTTTAAACGTGAATAATTGTTTAATACATCTATCATGATTATTTTTAAAAGCTAGCATATATCTCAATAAGGAAATGCCTGTACCAAGTCAGGAATATGACAGTTGTTTTCCATTCGTTTGATGTGTATGAGCTTTTTATTTTGCCATTTGATAAGGGACTTTTCGTTTTTAATTTTACTTTGAGTTCGGTATTTTTGTTATTTTACTTCTCACTTATTTTATTCTCTCCAAAATCCAGATTTTAAGAAAAAGAGAGATTTTTGAATATTTAAATGACATCAACCAAAGAATACTAGATGTTTTCCCCCAATCATACAAAATGACATGAATGGGAACTATGAGGATATTTTTATACTAGTAAAGATAACGCTAAAGCAAATTATTCCTTGATGCAAATTGTTACTATAAAATAACATTAAAGGTACAACTTCTACTACACTAGAAGGACATTTAGACAATTAATGTCTGTTAAGTGATGCTGGAAGCCAAAATAATGGAACCACTCTGATTGGACAATATGCATATAAACATATGTCAATACAATATTTTCACTCTTTACTTTTCGGACCGCGGTAAAATATTATTAAGCTTAATAGATTTATAATTTGCTTTTTATAGTAATCATAGACTAAAATAATTGTATGCCTTTTGATACAGAATGGGACTACCAGTAAGTACCCTTCTCAGATTTATTTTTATTAATTGGTTTTGTTATAATTTGTGTGATACTCACTAAATAATACAAAATTTGGTGACTATGTTGAACGAATATATCCCATCGAACTAGAGATAAAGGACACTACAGATACATTTAAGTCTGCCTCATATCTTGACTTACATCTAGAAATTGACAATGAGGGTCGGTTGAAAACAAAACTTTACGACAAAAGAGATGATTTCAGCTTCCCAATTGTGAACTTTCCATTTCTATGTAGCAACATTCCAGCAGCGCCTGCATACGGAGTAAATATCTCCCAATTGATATTCCCGGGCTTGTATTTCCTATCATGATTTCCTTGATAGAGGATTGCTGCTCACAAGGAAGCTATTAAACCAAGAGTTCCAAATGGTGAAGTTGAAATCATCCCTTCGTAAATTTTACGGACGCCATCACGAGTTGGTTGACCGTTATGGAATAACCGTTTCACAGATGATATCGGATATGTTCCTTATGTCGTAACTACAATACCCTTCCCTTTTCACGAATGTGACCTACCGAATTAGACTATTTACCGGATTTGTAATAACATAAGCAACACGACGGGTGCCACATGTGGAGCAGGATCTGCTTACCCTTCCGGAGCATCTGAGATCACCCCCAGTTTTTGGTGGGGTTCGTGTTGCTTAGTCTTTAGTTTTCTATGTTGTGTCATCTTTCGTCCCTCTTTTATAGATTATTACATGGCATTTTCTATATTGGCCCTGGTATCAGCCCAAGACTCTCATATCAAGCCAGAGAGTGTAGCCCGAGGGCTGATACTAAGGCCAATATTGAAAATGCCATGTAATGATCTACTTATCACATATTTTATTGATTGTTTCTGATTGACAGGTTTATTTGAAGTAAAATTCGGGGGCTCATTATGGGTATTTTTAGGGCAAATATCGATATTGGCCACGAGGACAAATAACCGACTCCGACTTCCGGCTATTATAGGACAATCAAAAACGTACATATTAGTACAAAACATGTGATAAATATTTCATATTTATAACAGTTGAAATTCTATACTTTCTTCATTGACATTTATACTAAACAGTAGAAATATCATCGAGTGCTTACCATATCTTTCAGATGTATTCGTCCATTGTAAACTAAAGGAAGTGAAAGTGACACCGTTACCATTGGAATGACTTGTATTTTCTAGAGAAAAATAATAAACACACTGTCTTACATATCAACATATAATTTGAAAACCACAATTTTAAGACGAAACATATTGAGAACGTCTGTCGTAAAGATGTCACAAATTCAAATGAATGTAATAAAATAATTATTAACGTAAATTTATGGATAAAAAACAGCTGATCTGCAAAATTTTTCATCTTCATGCCACACTGTATTATATAACTACCTGGATGAGGTCGACAAAGAAAGACTTTTCTCGACCAAAGAAAGATTAATCGATCAGATAACCTAGTTTGGCGATGTTGCTACGACTTTACAGAAGTATGGGTTAACAAAATCAGATCTTACATTGTTAGGCTAAATTTAAGACGGTGTATATATATCCAGGAAATACAAAACAAATTTTGATATATAAATAGAAAGTGGTACTCAGTAAAATGGGTTTTATAGTTCGAGTATAATGCATATATAGATACTTAATGGATATTTTGTCTATCAGCTCTTGATACTTGCCAATTTTCTTTAGAAAATGTGATACTATTGAGTTGATGTTTAAAGCTAGGTTCACACTGCCGATCAGATCAACTCGATGATCCCGATTGACCAAATTTCCACGACCAAGCGTGACCAATTCATGATCGGGCATTTTTACGACTTCTATACGACCGCTTTCAGACCGTACACGACTCAAACTCGACCATTTACGACTCATCAACGACTTCTTCACGACTTCAACCCGAACACTAATTGCATATCTAATCGAGCTAGACTTAATCAACTATACTCGATCTCAACCCGATCTCGACCAGACCTGATCGTATAGGGATCATAAGGATAGTCGGGAATTGGTCGGGTATATACAATTTCAGTATAAAAAAGGTCTGATTGTTATATCCCCGCCGCAGCGTAGGGGACATTAAGTGTCTATTACCACAAAACACAAAGCAAGGTTGAATTTGGGATGCGTCACTTTTACAGTTCTAGAGTTATGCCCCTTTAGAAATGAAAAAAAAAATCCTGATTTTTTCGTTTTCGTTCTCTTATTTAAGTTTGCCTCAATCAAATGTTCTGAAACTTATACACGATGCTTATTACATGTATCACAAACTCATATCGAATTCGAATTTGGGTAGCGTCATTTTTGTCGTTATTAAGTTATGTTCCTTTATATGCAAGCGGGAGCATCATCTGTGTTCCATGGACACATTCTCGATTTATGTATGTTATCATTCAATAGAGATAGAGCAGTTGCATTTGTGGGCAAGGTGGTTAGAGATTCAGGGAGACATTTTCATAGCTGTGACAGAACTTGAAGAGGAGCGTAGAAAACGAGCAAGAAGGCATAGACAAAAACGGCGCCGAGAAACCTGTTTGAGACAATGGATTACACGGCGACCACTTTATGGGCAATATGACAGACTGTTGCAGGAGCTCAACAGAGAGGACCCTATTGGTAATAAAAACTTCCTCAGAGTGGACACTGATATGTTTGGGGAGCTTTAAACCATATCTCACACATAACAGAAAGACAGTTCACCAATTTAGGCAAATTGACATGTTTATGCATTGAAATTTTCACCCGAATGAAACCGAGGTAAAACTATGATATCATTATAGGAATAGAATTTATAAATAATTTCCAACTTTTATCTTATCTTATCACAGAAGCCTTAGAGCCTGGACTGAAAAAAGGCTGTCATTCTACGCCATATCGCAACTTGCACTTCTTATGCAGAGCTCATGTATTCATTCAGAGTGGCTAAAATCACAATCTTCTTGTTCGTTCCGGAAGTTTTGGAAGCTGTAATACATGAATACTCGGAAGAGGTGATGCCATCCGTCGTCATACCCGTACAGGGCAAACAGATTGCCGATGACATGCGAGCCAAGTGGAACTTCCCCGTGCATGTAGAGCACTTGATGACAAGCATGTGAGGATAAAGTGCACAAAGGACTCTTGTTCACTGTTTTTCAATTACAAAGGATTTTTCTCAATCATACTACTGGCCCCCATCGACGCAGACTACAAGTTCATATAGGTCAGTGCTGGTGCTAATGGAAGTGCGTCCGATCTGAATTTAGGACTTTGATTGAGGAAAACAACCTCGGTATTCCGCGCCGTAACGTGACCCACTGCCCGGCGACGCTAAAAACACGCAATAATTCATGATTGGAGATTATATACAACCACTGAAAACCTGGATGATGAAGCCATACTCCAGACGGTTTGAAGACCTGCTTGGCTAGTTGAAATATTCTCATGAGACAATTGAATTCCATCATTTTTGCATGTATTACACAGCATTATCTTCACAGAAATTGGAATCATTCTATTGTACCCTAGGCCATCGACCATGTGGCACAATCAATTACAACCTGGTGAATGGCGTCAGGAAGGGCATATGGTAGATGGTGATCATACCCATGAAAGAAATGCTGTGACATCCGCTTGGGTCCGTCTCATAGTATTTCAATTCACCAGCAGGTTCTCAGAATCAGTGGAGTGGCAACTATTTATCTAATTCAGCAGTGTAATTATAGTTACTTGGGGTTTCACTGTGAAACCGCCGATGTAGTTATTTTAGTATGATATCTTGTTCTCATGTGTTATAAAATCGTCAAGATTGTTTTAAAATAAAGATAATTATGTTTTGTTTTGTTAAGTTTAGCTTTGGTATATGTTTTGCCCTTTTTCTGCGTTTAAAAAATGTAGTTTTTAGAATGCACGTTTATAAGGAGATCCTCAGAGCAACGGAAATCCTTAAAATAATAATGATAAGTTGAACTGTTTGTATTTTCTTATCTATAAAATTTACTCTTCTTTTCTTGAAAATGACACCACTAAATGAGACTTGTCACTGTATTGAACAATGACGGGTGCAAAGTGTGGTACAGGATTTGCGTACCCTTCCGGAGCACATGAGATCACCCAGCCAGTTATGTGAGAGGATCAGATCTGCACATCCTTTTAGAAAATCTTGTAGCAGTCATATGTACTCGTGTATTACCGAGTAGAGATCGAAAAGTGGTCGAATTTGGTCTAGTAGAGATCGGGTATTGGTCGAGTTGGTCTGGGATATAAAAAAAAATAGTAGTAACAGTGATCGGGAAGCGATCCGGCATTGGTCGAGTTTATCTGAACCACATATGAAACAGGATGGCGTTTATCGGGAATCGATCGCATATTTGTCGGGAAAAGGTCGAGATGATCGAGTATTGATCGGTAAAATAGTTGTATTCCGATCAAACTCGATCTCTACAAGATCCTTTCCCGATCAATTCGACCGCTACTTGACGAATTCCCGATCTCTTCTCGAGTGATTGGCCTCTCGATCCCTATTTGAAATTTTTTGCCATGTCAAAAATTGTAGGTGTAGAAAGTCAGAGCGATGAAGAGCAAGGTAGACCACCCCGAACATTCTTGTCGAACGAGTCAGATCAGTCTCCCGATCGCTTAATCTGTCTTGATCGGGCTTGATCGAGTTGATCTAATCGGCAGTGTGAACCTAGCTTAACCAACTTTGCTGTCCATGAGACTATAGCACGATCGGGAAAATATGACGAGAAACTATTTTACAACATTCGATTCAAAATTTAACCTGGGAAAGGCATTTTGCGTTAAAGAAAACCACAAATTCACTGAAGAAGTTTAGTCAAGTGTAGCAACTCAACTAAATCCCTCAAGTCCTAGTTTAGACAGACAAATTGAAATCTAAATATACACAAATATAAGTTGTTTTTATCTTCCAGTCGTTTTCCAAAATTTTCATTTGTTTTTTCACTATTTTTTTTTATTCAGTTAAAATATATTTTATTTGCAAGAATAGCAAAAAGGATGACGTCCCATTCCAAGTCATATATATACACATTTAATCATGACGAAAACATGTTTTGAATATATTTTCTACAAAACAAATTAGGGAAAATAGAACAAACTAATTTTTTTTTTGGTATGTGTATGCAAAACATATAATTTAACTTTACATAAGCACAATTCATCTTAAGGGATTTATTCCATGTAACACTGAAGTGTTCATGCCAACATAACATCAAGGATTTATAGGAATAAAGAAATATGGTCACCTGAACTTCTCGCTTGTAGAGTGTCCGTTTGGTTTTGCAGTATGTACAGTTACGCTGACACACCCGCTCGGAATCTTGGACGTTTAAAAATCTAATGCCTTGTTTCGAGAGTGACAAGCTCTTTCTGCGTCAAATAACAGAACCCCTGCAACACCTCAGTATAGAGGGTCCGTCGTTGGCTGTTGAAATGCAAAATTTTATTCCCTGTCTCATATACACTTATTCAAGTTCCATTCGAAATTCCTCGCCCATCATATCAGTCTAAATCTTTTCAACTCCTACATTTTAGATATATTATTAATTTTTTCTCGTCCTCAGTGTGCATAAATCACTTGCACTATTATTCATTATTTCATAATCAAACAGGTAGCAATATAAAAATGGTTCGTGTACGTCACTACAATAACGCGACATGTTAAGCATATCGAGCACAAAAGAGAAATTACAGTGAAGATCACTTCTAACCTCTCATCAAATCTGTCAGAATCTGTCAGGAGAACTGTTCTAGGACAGTATGTAGAACTGTCATCCTGACACTTTTTAGACAGTTCTAGCTTGAACAGTTCTAACCTAGAACTGATTTGGTCAGTTCTACCTAGAACTGATTTAGAAAGTTCTACCTAGAACTGATCCTGACAGTTCTACCCTAGAACAGTTTTAGGCAGTTCTACGATTAGAACTGATTTGGTCAGTTCTACGGCTAGAATTGATTTAGTCAGTTATATCCATAGAACAGTTTTAAGAACTCTTTGTCTTAAATATAAATAAGTCAAAAGAATATAATATATATTAAAAAATTGCAGTGACGTCATTTAGAACTGTTCTACAATCCTGACAGGTTTGGTCAGTTCTACGGCTAGAACAGTTTTAGTCAGTTCTGCTGACAGTTCTACGGTTAGAACTGATTTGGTCAGTTCTGCTGACAGTTCAACGACTAGAACTGTTTTGGACAGTTCTACCTAGAACAGTTTTAGACAGTTCTACCCTAGAACTGATCCTGACAGTTCTACCCTAGAACTGATCCTGACAGTTCTACCCTAGAACTGATCCTGACAGTTCTACCTAGAACTGATTCTGACAGTTCTACTTAGAACAGTTCTAGGGTAGAACTGTTCTAGGACAGTTTAGAACAGTTCTATGACAGATTATTCTGACAGTTCTAATGAAAGGTTAGAAGTGATCTCCACTGTATGATCGTGATTTGATTGTTTTCTACATGCACATTCATGTTCGTGAATTCAGTCTAACTTCCAAATCTACAGTTAAATGGTTGCGTAAATATAATTTCAAAAATCAAGAGTTTCAATAAAATCACTTTCAAATTTCACAAAACGAACAGAATCACACAAAGCACTGCATAAAATATCAAATATTCAGTATAAATCACTGTATGTGAAAAAGGGCTTAATTAATAAATTAAGGGCATTATTTCACATAACGGATCTTTCTTGGCTGGCATTGCTCAGAACGTGGACAAAATGTTTTCATTTCTTAAAATTCAATCTTACCTATTACAATTAATGTAACATGACTGTATCCTTCTCCCCATTTATTGACCACTGAACATTTATATATACCAGCATCCCTATTTCGTGCGTCAGTTATACATAGTTCCGTCGACCTGAATGGTAATATAATGTCGTCTTTCCACCACGTTAAACTTCGTAGATCAAACAAATTACCCATGATACACGATAAGGTCACATTAACACCAGCCTCGACTTCTGTTCCAGGATATACAGCAATTTTAACACGCGGTTTCTCTGGAAAGATATGAATTCAGTATGCGTTAATTTATCAAGTTAAGAGACGTGCTAATAATCGCCTCGGTCCAAGTAAAGCAACTTCCTTCAAATTTAATAAGACTAGTACCAAATCGTCTACAATTGACGATACTGCACAAACAGGAAATGATATAAAAGTATAAAGATTCTGATAAAAGATAATAATATACTAACAAGATGAAATAGTATATAATTGACAAATATTTCACCAGAACAAATGGCCTTCGTCCGTGTCAATCTTTTTTTTTTAAATGTAATGATACAATCTGGAAATAGTTAGTATGTTATAGTGCTAATAACAACAGGTAATTTTCAATTTTAATCCGTAATCTTGAAGGGGATGGAACAATTAAAACTCAATACTGAACGCGCATGTGTGTTCTTATACATCCAAAATTATATGGTTATGTGTATTCATGTAAATCACAGAAACTGTTATGTATCATGGTTTAGGAAGAATGGTAAAACTATTCAAAATAAAAAGAACCAATTACGCCATATACTTTTTTTAAATGGTTACGAATATAACAAGGTTAGAGAAAATTTAGAGAAAGATTAACAGTTTCAAACAGTTTGGACATCTAATTCTATTTTATATTAAATTTGTTTATGTGTTCAGAACATATCGGCAATGCTCATTGTCTTTCAAAAGACTGTTACACCTGAAGTTACACTTATTCTATTCGTGTGTTGTTTTATCTAATAATAATAGAATATATTCGTTTGAGCTTGACGAGTTAGAATATATATGACATAATATAATATAATATGATATGTTGGATATGCGCCAATGAGACTGCAACACATCAACATAAAAATCAAGACTTTCATGAGCTCAACAAACGGTCTTCACCAAATAGACAAGGATATACAATATGTCAAGCTTTAAAAGCAGAAAAGCTGCAAATTTAACAGATACTATCAAATTTTAAGGTTTACCATCAGTACCAATTCTTTAATTTGAAAACAATATATCAAAAGATATAACAAAAACTTATCACCCACGATGTTCTTGGCTTGTGACAGGCACATGAACATGTGACGGAGTCAAACTTGTTTTTGTTTCATATCCCAACTATTATAATATGGATCAGAAGAATAACGAAAGTTGCATAAAAGATCATACAATAATAATTAGTGACAGAAAAATAATCATCTCTAGAAATAACTGTATACTAGATAACAAATCATAAGTACAAGTAAAACAATAATTTAGTACCTACTAATGCTTTTATTAAAAAAACAATAGAGAGCAAGCTCGTAGTACTCAACCTATTGATATGATTAAAAAGAAAGTATGCCGTCCTTCACCCTACAGTTAGTGGTAGTGGCTGAATTTCATAGCAGATTTTATACAACAGCGTCATAAACTGAACAGCAAGACACAACAAAAGGAAATAATCAATTTTATACAGAATTTCAAACCAGATAAATACAAGATTTTAGTCCTGTATCAAACAGTAAATAAGCAAATTGATGTTAATTAAAAAAATACTTTTAGTACTAGACGTCATGTCTGAACAACACTTACATGTATATATAGTATATTTAAACATTTGGCTATACGTCTAGTAAGCTTAGAGAGAAACTTAAGAGGACATTTCTTAAACTCATTAGCTATGTAGATATTATTTCCGTAAAACGATGAGAGTAAAAAAAACATTAAATGAAATTCCTGTAGGTGGAATAGCACTTCTACAATAAATCTCTATATTTATGGGAGAAAAGAAAATCCTATTTGTAAAATTGTTTATGTAATGAAATAAACACATTTATTGAAATATATGATGTCATTGCTCACACGTACGCGTACGTATACAACCAACTGAGAAATCTGCAGTCAATAAGAAAGACCCAACGGAATTTCAGCGTGAAGGAAATAAAAATTAACAATACGGAAGGCAAAGCCGTTCTATTTGGCATAGATTTTGATAAAATATAACATTATATAATATGCAAGATTGCTTCACGAAATTCCCCCGCCGCTGTATAAAAGAGAAATTAAATTGCTTGTCACAATGCTTCATAGCATCAACAACTCAATGATATGATGGCAAACAAAACTACCAAGTAAGCTATCTGTCAAATAGTGTCAGAGCAGTTACATTCACAAAGTGTCATGATGGTATAAAAATTTTAAAAAGGTCAAAGTCCAATAACTCCCGTTGAAATGCTCAAATCAAAATGACGATATGATATGGTCTACTAAACATGAAGGCAAACAAGTATGGCATCTTTCTGTCCGACAATATTAGAGTATTTTAGCTGAAAAAGTGTCATTGTGGTACAAAAAAATAATTAGAGCCCAAATACTCCTTAAAAAAATGGTCGAATCAAAGTGACGACATAATATGGTCAACTACACATATAAACACCAAGTACGGGGGCTTTCTGTAAAACGGTCTCAGAGGAGTTGCTTTCACAAGGTGTATGTAATTATTACAAAACTTCAACAAATGGTCAAAGTCCAATTTCTCCCTTTAAAATTGTCAAATTAAAATGTTGGTATGATATGGTCAATTACACATGATGGCAAACAATAGAATTAATTACGAGAGTTTTTTGTCAAGTGATCTCAGAGAAGTCGCACTCACAAGGTGTTATTGTCACAATGCTCCAAAAGGTGGTTAAAGTCCCAAAACAATCGTAAAAATGATCGAATAAAATGGCGGTATAATACGGTAAACTACACATGATGACAAACTAAAAAACCAAGCATAAGGAGCTTTCTGTAATGCTGACTCATAGGAGTTGTGTTTACAAGGTGTCATTGTTATTATACTCCAGAAAATGGTCAAAGTCCCATAATTCCCGTAAATTTAGAATTGTCATGTCAAACTGACGATTAAGCACGGTCAAGAGATTATGACGACAAATAATTTTACCGAGAATGAACAAAGCTTTATGTCAAACGGTCTCTGAGTTTTGATGTGTTTCGGACATAACGACGGACGAAGACTATTACGATATCCCCCGATGCGTGACCCGCGGGGATATTAAAGATTTAAGAAGGACAACGTGTTAGATTTAGTAAAAGTGAGTTGAGGTGGAAAAGGTTCATTTATATATTAAGAAAAATATATAGAGTGTTTAACATAGAAGATGTAGTCTTTTTTCTACAGATGTTGTTGAAAATATCTATATAGAGTTGAACCCTTACGGTATACTTTATTTCTTCCAATTTTTTGTCTAGGTACTTTTTATCAACGATGACGGACATGTTTGCTCATGACTTTTTGGGATCACTTACCATATTCCTTAAACAGAATATCTAGGGTATAAACTCACCAAATTGTCTTGCCCTTTTATCAGAATATTTAGAGTTACGTACCATACTTTCTTTTTTAGTATCATCGACTCTGTTCTGAAAGGTTTTTTAAATGTGCAATGCATAGTTATAGATCTTATTAAAACAATATGATTAAACTATAAATTATGTGCTCACGTTTTGATCACAAGGACATGACACCACTTCGTTCTACTTTCTGTTCATGTAATTGTGATATCAGGCAAACTTTTGAAGGCATGATCAAATCCAGAGGATCCAGAAAGGTCTTTAAACAGAATTTAGAACGGAGCGTTTTGAGATCCTTGTAAGCGAAGCCTGGACACATTATCTGTATTTCAATCAGATTGATATTTGAGTTTTGATCTTGTTTACCAATTTTGAAAAGAAATGCGGCTACTGAACTGCATAAAAGTAGCTTTCTTAGCGGCTAAAGGATTAGTTTTTGACATATATACAATGGTATAAATTATCATGTATTTCGTAATAGTGCTATATAGAAATAAGGAGAGGTTGTATGATTGCCCATTAAACAACTATCCACCAGAGTCTGATGACGTGGATTTCAAATTAATAGGTCAACGTATGACATTCAACAACGAGCAAAACCCATACCGTATATTCAGATATAAAAGGCCCCAGCATGACAAAATGTAAAACATTTTAAACAAGAAAGCCAACGTTGCACAGGGACTCGGTTATCGGATATAAATATTTTAAGTCATTGTAATTGAATTTGTTTTTCGTAGTTCCTGTCTATTTATTTTGAATTGATATACCATTGGCACCAATATTGGCACCAACATTTGTATGTTTACTAGAAATGAGCAGCATACTATCCATATCCGTATACAGAAAATATCGGTTAGCGGACATAAAAAAATAATCATCGTAATTTAATATGTCTTTTAAAATTAAATTATCAACATTGGCACCTTGATTTGTATATTTACTAGCAACGTGTATTACACTATTGTTCTCTGTTAGTAAGTGCAGTTGAGTGATAGACTTTAAATCTAGATATATGCCAAGAAATGATTGTTAGTCGCCAATAAACAAATCTACAACAACTTGTGCATGGGAATCAATATTTTTGATCACTTACCTGCTAATATGAGTTGTAGTGTCTTTCTCAAAGGCTTCCTTAAAGCTTCGTGTACAGCAATGCATTCGTACACTTTCAAATGGTCATTTCTTTTCGCTTGAAAAATAAACTGTATCTCCCCTGAACCGTTTACAAAGGTTCTGTTTCCTGATTTCCAGAAGAGATACTCTGAAGGTATCCCTGTAACCACTTGGCAAGTAAGATTAACTTCCCTGTCTTCCTCCGTATGTAATATATTTGACGTGTGTCCCACAATTGACAGATATGATGGTGGAACTACATAGTATAAAATATATTTTTCAAATATATCAATAGGAATTTTATGAATTATTTCTAAAACCTATATTTTTTGTTTGTAATTGGTTTATCACTGATGCGCGGTGGGACCATTTTTTACAAAACCATTTTCTTTTATCGCAATTTGTTTGTCTTCAAATATTGAAATACTACTAGTGTGTTGTTGTAAAGCTTGTACTTAAGATACAGATTGCGTTCTTCTTGAAAACAATTGAATAAAAAAAAAATAATAATTCTCCTGTATAAAAAGAAGAATGGTATGATTGCCAATGAGACAACTTTGACGTAAAAGCAAACTATAGGTCACTGTATGGCTTTCAACAATGACCAAAGCTGTAACTGGCTTTTTTAATTGTTCTTTTTCTCGAATGGTTATTTAATAGGTTTTAGATTTGAAATTTTTGCACCGTTACCGAAACAGAAAAATAAATGAACAAATTGCTTTCAAATCGTATTCAAATCTCTTTCAAATCGTGATTCTGCGATTTGTTAGTACCATTTGCTCGCGATTCATTAAACAAATTATAAACAAATCAGAATTCGCCAAATTCCCCAAAACTGATTTATTTGTGATTTCTTTCAATTGTACGATTTGTTAGCAATTTGTTTCTGTTTTTGCGTGATTTCTTTACGATTTGTTTACTTAGAATATCGTATGAAACGATTTGAAAAAGATTTGTTAACTTTGTAAGCTAAAATTGTGTGATTTCTTTATGATTTGTTTACTTAGAATATCGTATGAAATGATTTGAAAAAGATTTGTTAACTTTGTTAGCTATCATGGTGTGATTCATTGATGATTTGCTACAATGAATACAGACTCAGGGGCGTAGCTGCCTTTAGGCACTTTAGGCACGTGCCTACACATAATTTTTTCACAAATATTTTTTTTTTATTAAAAGAATTAATAAACAACGTTATCTGTAGATGCACGCAAGTGAAGTCGTCAAAACTCTTTAATTATCGAATGTCATGTGAACACTAGTCTATCATCCTTAGTGAATGAAGTATTGGATAGAATTGTATGTCATTATATCCCCCCTTGTATAGAAACTATAAACTAGAACTTTGGTTCAGATCATTTCACTTCTATCAACAAATACTTGAATGAACCTCAACTTAGACACATGATTTTTTTTAATAAGTTGTTGTTGGCTTTCAACTAGCTTTCCACTTGGTCTTCATCCGACCTACAATAAAACCCTTGCCAAAGTTAGGCGTCCGTTTGGCTGTTCAAGATGTATAAATACGCAGTCACGTCTGGTCAGACTGGGGACGTTAAATCCGATGCCTAGTGTAGAGAGAATGCCACGCTCTCTGCACGTTAAGAAACTTGCAACAATTCTTTGAGGGGTTCGTAGGTGGTCTACTGAAAGGCAAAATTTCTGTTACTATCCAATAAACCCTCATTTTCCAATGCATGGCGTTTCCAAATTTCCAGACCTTCGTCCTGGACGACCCCTATTACAGGACCTAGCTACCTGTTGTATTTATTGTAAATTTGTTTTTGTCCTGAACTTGCATGAACTATTTGCCACTGGAGGTTTAGCAATCAATCAATCAATCAACCAGCTTTCAGTAACTTCGAGTACTCTCAGATCTACGTGTAATGGCTATAATTATTCAAATTCCTATGCAGGTAGGGATTTTACAGTACAGGATATAAGGAAATATGAATTTCTTGAATTTTGTTCGATAGTATGAACAGAACAGAACTTCTGCATGAGGCATCGACTGTGTGTGTATGTGTTTGTGTAGCCAGAGGACGGTGAAGGTTTCTTTTAAATGTAGGATCGTCAATATGTACTATCAATTGACGTGTATATCAATTATCCTCAATCAGAAAGGAATAGATATGAAAATACTAAACAGGTTGTGCTGCTTAGTAAAGGGCTACGCTGATCCACGCTGGGCAATGCATATTGTAAATATTTTTTTCTTTATATATTTCCGATTGTACAGCCGGTTTATTCATCATTCAGATATAATTGTAAAATTATGTATATTATAATTTCTTGCTGAAAACCGTTTTCCGTCGGGGGGCTGAACACCCTACCAGGGCTCAGACCCCCTGCCGCAATGTGTGCCTACAGTTTATTGGATACCTAGCTTCGCCCCTGACAATGTTGTTGCATTCGGATTTTCTGTGTTTATCTATATCTCTGACTTTCGGTTTAGATCAAATTCAAATTTCAAATACTAGCTGTTCTATATTAACTGACCAAAGAAGGCTGCAAGATGAAGAGTAAACTATACTATCAATGATGACAGTGGTAAATATCTCAGTCATCATAACTTATTATTTCACACATTCAATTAATACTATTCAAACATGTAAAAGTTCTTAACCTTTTAAACTCAGAAACTGTGCATTTCAGTATCTCGTAATAATTTTTTACTGTCTCAGTGTCTGGATTAATTTTCAAAATAAAAATGTGTAAAAGACGTGTAAACAGATCGAGACATGCAATTAAAGACTAGCTTCCCGAGTCAGCAGACAAAATTCAGTGGCAAGCAAAGTTTTATGTTTTAATTTTTCATGATGTTTACTGACCAGGTCCAGGGTAGTAGGGGCAAAGCTACATTTAGCAGATTTGGACCCAGACTAAGACCCATAGCCTATTCGATATCCTTCTAGTAAACGTGGAGTCCATGTGGTTGTCAAATCTCGTTAGAGTCAAATTCGGGAGAAGTAAGAGAAACCTTTCACAGAGGGAACAATTCGTCCCTCATGGCAACCAGACATAGTAATCCCTTAGCCATGTTAACAATCAGAGAATTGTTAAGGTAAAATTAATACAAGTGCACTTTAAAGTTTGGGGGTCTCGGGGGCAGAAAATATTTTTGATCTAGATGTAAATGATTTAATCTGTGAATTGATGATTGATGCCAATTTATTGACAATTTGCTGGTGATTTGCTTGAGGTAGGAATATGATTTACTTCTGATTTGTTAAAGATTTGATAACAATTTGTTTATAATTTCTTCATAATTTGAAAACAATTTGTTTGTGATTTGCTTGAAGTAGGAAAGCAATGACTTGCTTATGAATTGGAAGCAATTTGTTCGTGAATTGTTGTTCTGATTTGTTAGCTCATTTGCATGTGAAATTTTATCACTTTCAAATCATAAAGAAATCATACGATTTGGTTATCATTTGTTACCATGATTTGTTCCTCAATTTTCTTTTGTTTGGTTATCGATGAAACATGTGTACATGTAAAAGTCTGCAGTTATTATAACTCGACAGTTTCGTTCATAGTACAGTAAAAGGTAGTTGTCAATTGTTGAAGACCACCTATTTAGACCTCTAAGTTGTATAAGCTGGTTTTGTTTTATGTCGTTGGGTTATTTTTCGTGGACGTTTATATTTCATATGTCTCCTTTTTATCTTAATAGTTTTCTGGGTGTTATAAACAGTATTTACCGTTGAAAATATTCGTTTCAGCTGAGAAATGTAATTCCTACCGAAGAGTTCATTTACATGTACATACCCATTAACATAAGCTGCATTGAGGAATCAACCACTTTATTATCACTTGTTGATACGCAAATGTATGTTCCCAAATCTCCATCTGTAATGTTCCTTATCTGCAGAAAAAACTCCCCTGTTGAATGGTTCCCAACAACGGCTAGCCTTTTATGATGTGGTATGTTTGTGTTGATTTCTGTAGCCATGGAATAAACTTGGTGATTATATCGCCAAGTTACAACAGGTACTAAACCATTAAATGGGCATTTTAGAATCACTGTACCTCCAATCCGAACATATTTAAATTGTTTTTTTAGTTGAGCTGAAATATCATAAAAAAAAATTAAATGTGTTTAAACTGATTATGGTTAGTAATGTTAATGAAAAACTTCTTGTTTATGAAATTGGGGGGGGAGTTATCAATGACGTTACTGAGAGATACAATTTTAAACATATTTGAATGTCACAGTTTTGACTTCGCATTACACAACTCTTGTGCAACATTATTATACATTGTACTCCTACAACGGTCAGTTTTTATGACAATGGTCATCATCAGAATCTGAAAACCAAGTCACTTTTACATATCATGTACTGCGTATTACATTATTATACTGTAATGAATATTTAAAAAAATCATTAATAGAGAAAAAAATAAATGACTTGATGGAAGCAATACGATTTCTTTAAAGAAAGATAAACTTGAGTAGAGAATTTAACCTGAATAACACAAATTTGGATTTTAAAAAATAATGACTTAGTTTAGAATGAGCGAACACACCCTATTAAGTGCAAGTCTTTGTAAGAATCAGGCAATTTAGAAGAATTTCAAAACATGACCGAAAAAACCCGCCGACCTAACCATTCTATTTTGAAGTTACCCTCATCCTGATTTAGAAATGGTAGTAATTCGAGAAATATCTAGATAACTTTTGGTTAGAATGATAGCAAATTAAGGAGTTATCTACCCTTAATTGTTAATTTCTAGTGCATTTCAACCAAATTAAATCCTGAAATACCAGAACAGAAATGGGAAACGAATGCTATATTCCTGTTCCATTTATACATTCGGAACATAAATTAATGTAAAGTTGAGTAGGTTTTTGTTTGTCATGTTTTCACCATTGCCTCATTCTTAGGCAGATTGGCACCTAAGGTAGCACTACAGTCAGAATTTTCTGACTCCAACCAACAGTCTTTAAAGATTAATTTCTCCAAAACTACTCAATGGATTTTTAAAATCTTTAATTCATTTTAAAGCTGAAATATTACTCTTTCTGAATCTATAGATAAATTTATTTTTGGTATGATTAATTTAAAAATATCGCTCATTGATTGCCCAAAAAAGTGGTCTTCCAACTTGGATGAAAATGGCACATTCAGGTCAAATGGTACTAAAAATTTCACATAAACTTAAAATTGGTTAAAATGCCTAAAACTCCTAACAGGAGACACGCTCATCATTAATGATAAAAGAAAAAGATTGACATAATAAGATCACTAGGGATCAAAGACTCTTAATGAGTGAATGTATGCGAACAGAAATGAACCTCTAAGTATCAGAAAGGAGCACATATTTAAACAGTTTTTAGTGGAACTAACCCTGATAGCAGTAGAGAAATCAATAAATATAAAACCAATACACTAGTGAATCTAAAACCGCTAACGTTTTATTTTCTCTCTTTCCAATATTCGCAATACTAGTATAAATCTAAATTGTGATTTGACATAAAAAAAAATATGTTTTTGTTATTTGAGTATTTGGTGTTGTTGTTGGAAGGTCTTCGGGTAGTTTCTGCTTAATTAATTCAAAACCTTTTAGGCTCGGAACGATTTAATAATTTTGTGTCGTTTGGATGCTGTCTGATTGACATATACCTAGCATCTCTTTTTATTCATAATCTAAATTGAATACCTTTATATATTACCTGACTGAACTGCGGCAGTAAGAAAGATCCATGAGTAGAAATTTACTATCCAAACCATGATAATATTCCACAGTGGTATAACGGTATTCCAGCGTGCCCTTTCCCCATGTGAACTTTGATATGTTTTCTCTAATTAAATCCAACAATTTTAGAATAATATAAAATATTATATGTTATATAAAGCATGGGAACGGAAACGAAAACAAACTGTGTTAAACGTTTCAATTGAATCATTGCTTTTTGAGGAAATGTTTTTTTATCATTACAAAGGTTAATAAGTATCATGAGTATACATCGATTTCAATTAATACTTTCGGGAAATGAACATTGTATTATACTTCTCGTATACATGTCAGATTTTGATTGGTTAATACGAGGGAGACATTTTTCTCTATCCCATGGCTTATTACCGTCTCCTCGCAGACGGTCTTCGTAGTTGAACAATACACAGTCTGCGGGCTGAAGGCTTACTATCTGATTGGAAGATAATTATTGGCTCTATAATAGTGAGGTTCGTTGATTGGTTGGAACAATCATAACCTAGTAAATGTCTGTTAATCCCGTAGAGTGTCGGATTTGAACTCTTTATTTTAGCAATTAGATTTTGCCTGGTTAATCATACATATCGGTACACAGGTAACACTTATCTATAAATAGCCGAAACTCCTAAAATTTTGTAAACACACACGTGATTATTTCACATTTAATCCAGTCGCTAACTGCCAAGTTACGTACATTTTATACATGAAAACATAGGAAACCACCGCGCATGCTTTTTTCTTAGGTTATACATGTAGATAGTAATTCTTAGTAAGATAATCAAAAGGCAGAAAAAGCATTGAAAACGGAGATATCCAAATCATTTATTTTCAATTAACATTAATTTAGTTTACAATGGATCGAATCTATCTCATCTCAGGGGGCGGCGGCACTTCGACCTTTTCATGGTAGGGGTGACTAGCTGAGACATCCAAACCCCACCCTTTTCATATATCTTGAATCTGAGACTACTATAACTATGTGTTATAGTAGTCTCAGCTTGAATGCAAAAGAACATAATCTAGCTATCATATTTTTTTACAATAATTATACCTACATATAGCTATCATTGTTACGCTATTTCAACGGGAGATGAATAGTTTTGGCAAATGTCTTAAGCATTTACGACAGTAATTGTAATTGCATCTGTAAAAAAATATCGACATCTGATTATAGTTTCAGATTCACAATCATCCACCTTGTTATATATTTCACCTAAATTTCTCGACAAGCGGCTCATCCCTTCCACTCATTATAATAAGTGCACCCCTGCCCCCTTCCACATACCCAAGATATTTAGGGGATCCGGTTGAGGGCTGGTTTGGACGGTGTCTAGCTCTCCCTAGCTCTTACTTTCAAGATAGCAGACGTTGAAGAACAGAAGACTAAAAAAAACTCCAATGGGGAATATAAGAAGAACAAAACAAAACTGCTCTCAAACGATAAAAGCAATTATACATGTATGCTAGCACATTTTAAGCAAAATTTGATATTTATGCATGATTTAAAAGGAGATGTGAAGTATACATAATGTATTAAGAAAGCAACCCAATTAAACAACAAACAAAACAATTTACTTCTAAAGTTCAACATACGGTCTTTTACAATGGACATGTCATTACTATATTTTAAGTTCTTTATCCTCCCAAGTCTAGCTATAAGATGTTACAGTAGCTTAGTTGTGAATACATGTAAAAAAATATCTTAATAGCAAAAAAATCGTAAGGGGTTCCGCGGAACCCTATGTCTCGCCTGCGATTGCTGCTATCAGTGTCATTGAACGTGTAATGTTGACTTAAAAAGTAAGCCCATTTATCAGTATAAAGAATTTAAAAAAGACTCAAACTTTTTCTTTAGATGCTTTTTCTTGATCTTGAAGATTAGCTTATGTCCAAGTTCCATAACAATCCCTGAAGGTTTGAATATGTCAAAAAAAGTTTAATACCAGACTGTCTGTAAATATTTCTGTAAAAAACTAAGTCCATCTAATAGAAAAAACTGAAAATAAAAAAAATATTTTCAAAAGTTTGCTACAAACGCAGAAGACATTACCCCTCCGTTTCCAGTGTTAATACATTCCCCAAAAAAAGATATTGGTAAATCTAAAAAAAATTGTATAAGCCTTTTATAAGTTTTGGAATCCACTACAATTTATATACAAGGCTATTCTGGATGAATTAAACTACAAAGTGAAAACATTTTCCACTTTCATCAGGTAAAGACGGCTAGCTTTTTAGAAAAGGTATTACTTGTATTCGTTTACTCTTCACGGAGACGCTTGATCATTTGTGCGCTTTATTAAACGCGGATGGTTGTTATGTAGTACATAAATAATTATTACCACAAATTCAAAATAAAAAACAAGTTGCTTTCTTTAAAAAAAAGAAAAGCAATACATGAACCCGAGATCGCTGATTACAAGAATAAGGTAATGATGATGTTAAAACACATTTTTTGAAAATATGTAATTGTGTGTAGATTCTTGCTAAAGTCAAGGAATTGTATATCATATCCAGAAATCAACGCCACTTTGCTTATTTGAATTTTATACTAAAGAAATCAGATACGGGTCATGGAAATTCTATTAAAATGATAGGGAATTTTGAAAAAAAATGTCTGTTTTAACTTTAATTTAAGTGATAGACAGGTTGCGGGGACAGAAAATAAATATACACAACAATATACACCATTTAAACGAAACATAATGACTGTCGTTGCAAAAATCAAGGTTCCTGAGCTATTTTAAAAATCGAAGCGAGAGGCTTTTAACATTGCAGTATAAAATACAGGCTAAAATGGCTGAAACGTCAAATTTGCAAACTTCGTGTTGAAAATTGGCTAACAAGGTCATTACAAAAACAGGTTGCGGGGATGAAACTTGAAACTTGAATGTCCAAAGAATAAGCAAGTCAAAACATTGTATGTGTAGTCGTTGAACTCTAGGTTCCCACGTAAAGTTAAAATGCCCTTATTTTAAGAAGAATAAACTCACGAAAACACGAAAAATTCACTAAATTCGCGTTCATTGTTTTGATTTTGACCGCCTGACAACTTTACGGAAATATCAGAGTGATTATTAACAAGGACTCTGTGACGGGCAACTTATAATATCCGTGTTTTAAAGATTTTAATGATATCAAGCCAGTCCAGTTCAAACTATTATCACGTAGTACAATTCTCATTTACATATTATGAATATTAATTAGCAAAAGTACTACTAATTTCTGGCTATGTTTAAATATACAATTCCTTGCTAAAGTCAATTAAAAGAACCGTTGGATTTTAGTTGTAAATAGAAAAGTATATACACCTAACATTTGAATTTACCTTTTAAGGCTTGACTATTTTATTTTTTACTTGGGAGTGTAAATCATATTTTCTTCGCGTTTAATATATAAAGTCCTTATCATATTGCATGTCCCAGTTTCTGCAATCGGATGTCTTAGGCAAATTGCACAGACCAATCGCAATATGAATTTCAGCACTCAGTTTGCTATATAATCTGAATGCATTTGTTTTATCATTCATATATTCATATTTTCTTTCCTGAATGCCTTCAATTATTCTTTTACTTATTATTGAAGCTCTCTGTACTCATCACGGTTAAAGGTGGTATAGAGAGATGGAAATTCCAATTTCCATTTGAAGTGTAAGGTGTCCGGCGTATTAATTTTCTTGAGAGTAACACAACAGCTTAGGACCTCTTGTATACTGACTATTATTTTAGTCTCTGTGAACTTCTCAAATTTTAAGAATTTTCTGAAGTAACTTAAATCAATCCAAATATTCGAAAGGAAAAACTTAGTTTTGAAGAATATCTTGTTTTCAGAAGTTTTATGAAAAGTCAATAAAATCGTGATAAATACCAGGATTAAAATTGTGTACACCAATCACGCGCGTGAGCCTACACAAGACTCATCAGTGTCGCTCAAATCATAAATGTTAAAAGACCCGAAATTCCAAAGGTTTTGCCAAATACGACTAAGGTACTCTATTCATGGGGTAGAACATCCTTAGTATTTCGAAAACTTCAAAGTTTATAATATATATAGGATAGTCACTAAAAAAAAAGAAAAAGAAAAGAGAAATAACTAGAGGTCAGAATACCTTAATGATGACCATGCATCAAAGTCACTTGTCAAGCTGTTACTGCCGTGTCCTGAATTTAGATAGGAAATGCGAAAATTCACATAGAATTTATGCATGCACGTGGTTTTCTTGCGCAAGAAATAGTAAATGGAAAGCATATGCACTGATATTCTGGATTAAAATATACATCTGCAATTGTTTGCACCTGTCCTAAGTCTGGAATCTGATGTTCAGTAGTTGTCGTCTGTTGATGTGGTTCATAAGTATTTCTCGTTTCTCGTTTTTTATATAGATTAGACCGTTGGTTTTTCCGTTTGAATGGTTTTACACTAGTAATTTTTGGTGCCTTTTTATAGCTTGCTGTTCGGTGTGATCCAAGGCTCCGTGTTGAAGACCGTACTTTGACCTATAATGATTTACGTTTATAAATTTTGGCTTGTATGGAGAGTTGTCTCATTGGCACTCATACCGTATCTTCTTATATCTATTTGCGTCATCACGTATATTTATTCTAGGCTCAAATCTAATGTTAGTCGAATTCGGAGGTCAGACTACCTACCTCAAGTGGCTTGACCCCGGATTCATCTATACTATTAAACGAGAAGACCTCATTTTGTGTGTCGCTTCTCTTCCTTCCCCAATAATATAATCATCATGTCTCTGTGTCCTATAGGTGCCATGCATAGTCGCATTTGTCATCCATTCTTATGATTATTCAGTTTGGGTTATTTTGGGAAAAAAACGAAGAAAAAGGCAACGGGAAAATGGTTTCCGTCATCAGACCGACTTTTAAGTCATACCCAAGACTTCCGATTTTAAACTTTAAAAGAAGGGATAAAGGGTTATTTTCGTGCAACGTGTTTTGCCACTTTTTATTTCACGTGCAGCCGTGAAAAAGGCTCGTTATTCACCGTGTTTCTTGAAATCGATAAAAAGATCAACGTGCAAGAAATTTTTAATTGTTCGCTCGGGGACAGGACAATTATTTTCGCGTTATTCTGCATGTATACTATGATTATAATCCTATAATATATAGAGACTCTCTATATAATATAGCAGTGATCGCCGTGGAGAAGAAACTTAGAATTGATAGTTAATAGCAAATACACTTTATTTATATTATATGTATGTTCATAGTATACAGAAACGCGAAAATCATGGAATTAAACAGAGAGCAAAAAATAACGGACTTTGGAAAAAAGGGAGAGGGCTTAAAATAATTGTCCTGTCTCCAAGTGCCTATGACTCAGTTTGATACCTTTTCTGAAATTCTCCAGACATAAAATCTTTTACAAAAATTCATCCTAAAACAGTTTACATACTTTCAACCAAGCTCTAAATACCCGCGATTTCGCGGGTGTGTTGTAGTAGCCATTTAATCCAGAATTTGTGTAAACGCAAACCAATATTGATATCAAATCGGATTTCAAATCAAATCCTATTTAGTTGAGTCGTGTGAACGGTAATGTAAATGAACCAAGACGTGTGTAGGATAGCTCGTCAACACAATGCATACAATTTTCAAAAAAATCGCACCATATTGCAAAGATTTAGATTTATTGGTTGCTTAACGTCCAGTGGCAAATATTTCATGCATGTTTGGGACGAAAATAAATTAACAATAAATGCAATATGTACGTCCTGTAATAAGAGGCCGTCCGGGATGAAGGTCGGGGAAATTTGAACTGCCACTGGAAAATGAGGGTACATTGGATAGGGAAAGGAAGTTTTGCTTGCAACAGGCCACCTTCGGACTCCTCAAAGAGTTAAAAAACCAAAAATGAATTGAAATTTGATTAACATACATTCTGTTAATAAATCTCTTACGAAAATTTGAAATATACTATCAATTAAAATATAACACAAATGTAACGGGTCTTTATTCTGTATGTTTTGGAACTATGTCATTATTTCGGATGTACGTATCCGGGATCAATTTATCCATATTTGCCCGTTAACATAGGGAACTAGCTATTGCATTTTTCAGAATCACCATAAGCTCACTACTGTCTATATACTAGTAACGAAGTCCGTTTAATGTTCACATGTTTATTCGTATAGATATTCATATAGCAGTACATGTATGATATAAATATATAGGTTCACAATATAATTTCCAATTTAACTTGTTACTTCATTCTCATCTATATTACAACTGACTTCATTCTCGTCTATATGACAACTGACCAATACATAAAGTTTCTCGCAAGATCGTGCTATAAACATCTGTTCTTAAATTAGATTAAACATTGCTTTATAGTCTTACAGTATTTTGATAAAATTCTAAATGTTATTGCAACTGTACTGTGCAACCCGTGTACCGTATAAACTGTCACATTAATCAAGAGAAAGATGATTAAACTGATTAACATCAAATCTTTGATGTAATTGACCACGCCACATCACTCCCCGCTAAACAAAATTCGTTTTCACTCGAATTAAAAAATTAGATCAAAAGTTATTACATAAGTAAAATAATAAGGGGAGGCAATGTGAACATTAAAAAATAAACTTTTTTCTTATACTAAAACTACTTAAAAAAATCTAAACTAAGAAAATAAAAATAATGATAATTGCTATACTATGTAATTTATCAATTTACGTCGTGAATAGTTGTGGAAAACTTGCAAAAAAGATTAGTCTTAAAAGTAAATTAACAGTTATCCTTTCAACTTCAAACTCTTGATATGTATAACTACAAAAGAGGCACTAAACAAAAATCATAAAAATATATAACACAAGTTTGACAATCATTAATCTATTCAAATACATTATGGTAAGGTCTATCATGAATTATGACCGTTAATCCAAGCGTAAACGAAATGATAAAATAATTAAAAGCGTCAATTATAATCATCTTATCGTTATCTCTGGGCAATCATATTACGAAAATCAGCACTAATTAGCTGCAATTTTCACTTCTATGTGACCGTATCACCATTGAATGACCAACACTGTCAATCAACAGCACCACTGGACGTTAAGCAACCAACAATCAATCAATCAATCAATCAATCAACAACATGGGCACTCCCATGTACATCAAAATAGTATAAGCAACCCTTCTCGGGTACTGTTACTTTTTAAACAACATTCATTTCAGATTTTTATTTATTTTTTTGCTCAAAATATAAATGGTTTTAAATGAATAAACATGTTTAAACTTTTTTGATGATAATTTTATGAATTTTACTGTGAAACTATATTGATATGTACATAGCATGTGTTAAGTGTCTCATAAATCAAATTTATGACTGGGTATTGATTGTTTTATTGAATACTGTGATATGTAAATATTTTGTCAATCAATATGTGACACTATAATAAAATAATTATTATTACTATTTTGTAATTGACCACGCCACACAAACGTCAGACAAGTATTTACTGATGGACATTTTTTATCAAATCAATCTCTTCTTCAAGTCTAACTTTCCGAATATATTGCTATACAAAATATAAGCAGAGACTTTTAAAACCAAAACTAAAACGGTATCAAATAATTAATGTAGTAATTATAAGGTTATTTTAAAATATCAATTACGGTTTTTTTTTTTTGTTTGAGATGCAAGGATTTAAAATGGTGCTCTTATGTTGCATACAATTCTCATAAATGTATTCATTGTGTAAACCCATGGGACATAATTATATTCTATTAATGATAAGTTTGGTTTCAGTTTGAACTTAATAGTTTTAATGAATATTCCCTTGGTCTGTTATTATCTATTAATGAAAATAAATATTTTTGACAGAGATATCATTTTCTTTAATTATCTTTCTGCTTTGTGACCACTGTGTTTCCGACCTAAACTAAATATTTTTAACAGTAACACCGTTTCTTTTTGCTTTCCAACATTTTCTCAGGCTATGATGGATATACAAAATATCACGCGATAAATCATTCTTGGACATAACGTATTGTCAGTACAAGTATTGCAGGTGCATTGTCAAAACGGACAATAGCACGTTGTATTAAATGCTACACTCAACGCGTACAGGGACTGTCTCAAAACAAAAAATATATAATTGCGTTATCACAATACTTGATATTTAATAAACGTTCACATAAAAACGAATTTGTATTGTCAAAAGGCAAATAGGCTGGAATATATAATTGATGTTTTTACTGCAGTCTAGTCTTTACTTTTTAACTTTCCAATCTACAAATGAACTTTGATTGTTTAAATATACAATGTTACGTGGTAGCCTATCCATAAAGGGACCGTATAAAAGACATAGATAACTACCTATATAAATGATTGAAAATTTTCGAGACTTCCGAGAATCTTGTTTCTGAGGGTATCTGAATGGCCCATAGAAGCTTCCAAAACTCGCCAATATATAGACATGAACCCCTCAACAATAACAGAGCATTCAGTAATAGAAAATAATTAACACATAGCTAAGAAGGTAATAGAGCAGACTGTTGCCCTTTGGCTTTGCCTCGGTTGACAATGTTATCTCGGTGTAGAAATCAACTCTGTCACCCTCTCAGCTATGTGTTACATATAATACCTATCAGACTAAATTTATAAGCTATATTGAGTCGATGGAAATACGAATGTGATATGACCAGCAATAGTAGAATGACTGTTGAAAATCCTGCAACAAATTAAAATCCATATTCAGAACAATAAAATTAATGATTCACGGAACTCCACTTACAACGCCAGGCTACAAATATAACAATAGAAATAACAAATACAAAAAATGTATAGGAATTACTATACGATGAGACGGGGCGTTTTTTCCAGAAATGTTTGAAATTCTTTTTTTTTATTATAATTATCTAGTTCACTAAGTATATCTACATGTTGTTTCGATATCAAAAGTGGAGGAAAACAGTTGTCGTGGAAGATGAAAGTCCTTTTGGCTTAATTTATTATGGGCTTTGTGTTGTCGCCTCTTTCTTCGTCTGTTAGTCTGGAAAGGTAATTATGCTAGATCTACTTACTAAAGGTATGAGATGATTGAAGCGGTTAATTTAAAAAAAAAAAAAAAAACATTTATGTACGTTTAGGCGATAAAGTGTGCTGTTACATCACTGTCCCAGGTTAAGGGGAGGGTCTGGCGCCTGGAAACATGTTTAACCCCGCCACATTCTGTATGTGCCTGTCCCAAGTCAGGAGCCTGTAATTTAGTGGTTGTCGTTTGTTGCTCTATATCATATTTGTTTTTAGTTCATTATTTTGTACATAAAGACCGTTAGTTTTCTCGTTTGAATTTTTTGACATTTGTCATTTCGTGGCCTTTTATAGCTAACTTTGCGGTATGAGTTTTGTTCATTATTGAAGGCCGTACGGTGACCTATAGTTGTTAACTTCTATGTCATTTGGTCTCTGGTGGAGAGTTGTCTTATTAGCAATCATACTACATCTTTTTATTTCTTTATTCATAAGATAATTTACGTTTCTATTTATACCTTTAAAGGCCAAGAACGATATTAACTGATTTTAAAAACGTTCAGCTGATTTTTATAGAGTTATCTCCCTGTAGTGTTATGTACCACCTTAAATAATTTTTTTTATTATATACTTAGTAGTAAATACATATAAATTGTATGTTTAATACAATCATTGGCAAGCATGCTGTATCAGCCACCCGTGATGATGTCCATATCAGCACGGTTGCAAAGGCTTTATCACACCTTTAATCTGTATGACGTCACGTCATCGATTGCAGTCACTGTTACAACGGCTTTATCAAACCCGTAATCTGTATGACGTCATGTCAAACCTATAATCTGCATGACGTCATTTTAAAACTTATTATCTGTATGACGTCATGTCACATAAAAACATCTACGTGTGGTATATGTATATAATAAAGTTTCTCTAATTCTTCGTCAATTTATCTCTTTCTGCACCCATTGTATAAAAAAAAATTAAATCAACGTGTGGTTCGTTTGATCTCAGTTCTTCATTGGTTAAAATACGATTATGACGTCGAATTTTCTTGCTTTCCTCTGAATTTCCTAGTGTGACGGCATGAAAAAAGGCGACCATGCCTGATGACGTCACATAGAAAGAACACATCTTTTTGCAGATCATTCAAAAAGAAGGAATAAGTTTGCCTGCATATTGTTTGAAAATCATTAGAGAAACAGATTCCACCACCAAATCTCGTGTAATACGATATTTATCCACTCTCGACAGTTAAATTTTAAATATTTAAAACGCTCGGAGAGCCTCGCGTTTTAAATTTGAAAATTTAACTGTCTCGAGTGGATAAATATCGTATCACACTCGATGCAGTGGTAGAATCTATATGTATATGATATGGCTTTTTCAATATCACACACCGTATCAACCCTCAACCAATATAATCCCTCGAGCAGAGCTCTTGGGATTATATTGGTGTCTCGGGTTGATACGGATGTGATATTGAAAAAGCCATATGATATTCTCTATATAACGTTTTCTTATGATTACGTATGTCTCCTTTGGTGTAAAACATTATTGATTGAAAACATTACTAATTACCATAGAATTCTAATTTCCATTCTAGAATAACGCCAATGGTGGTCTGGGTGTATGTAAAACTGATCATCTGGGTTTGTCTCATCAGGCTGTAAACGCTAACCCCGTGCTAAGGAATGCCGTCCGTTTGGCTCTTAGGGATTTATAAATACAAATCCGAATCCTGTAAAAAGGGGGAAGGGCATAAAATCTGATAACTCTGGTGGGGACGTTTTTCACGCTAATCTACACGCTGAAAAACTCTTGCAACCACAACAACTCTTTCACGGGTCTGTATATATGTCCTGTATATATGAAGGAACAGTGTCTGCAACAGAATATCCTCTTTTTGAAGTGGTAGTCTAAATTTCCGCCTTTCAATTCGATCAACCTGGATGCAGTAGCTAAGCCGCTTCATTCAAACAGCTTGAAGAAGTGGCGGACACAAGGTTACATTATTGTATCTAAGATAGTAAGTTCTACATGTACTTTGTAATCCCAACTTACTGAATAACTGTATTATCCTGAATATTCATGAATTACTTGTTACTTACAGCAAACAGCATTCAGTCAGTCAATCCATTTCAGATTAATGCCCCTAAATTATTTAAAGTTGTAAACACAGTTTTTGATCAGTTTTGATAAGACTTTATTAGTTTGCAACATTTTTACCTACCCTGAAATGCATATCAGATGTCGTCTTTACAGATTCAGATTTAATATTTTATTAATATTATTATTGTGTATATATATTCTAACTAATTTGATTCGTTAAGAAAGAGTCATATGTTAAAATATCATTAATCGAATATTTTTAAGGATTTGTGATTCGTTAAAACTTGATCACATGTACATTTGTATTTGCTCAGTTTGCACGCCAATACTATTGTGTTTAGCTTTGCGTAGGTCAAAAACAGCATATTGCACAGGGCATACAGCATGTTACTAAGAATAGATACTAGAAATCCCCAATTTTACATTGTTCATGCTTTAGTTGTTGATTAATAATATAACAATTGTAGCCTTTGGTTGAGGTCAATACGATGTTATATCGACCCAGAGAAGCATATCGACCTCGGACTTCGTCCTCAGTCAATATGCTTCTCTTAGATATAACCTCGTATCGACCTCATACAAAGGCTATAATTGTATACTATTTTTTCAAAGGTAGACTGAAAACAGCAGATAGAAAAGAGATATTGCACGGTTATTTTTAGAATATCTGACACAATCGAAACACCAAATACAATGAATTGGTACTCTACTTCTGGCTTATTGGGAATAATAATATAACAATTGTAGCCTTTGTATGAGGTCGATACGAGGATATATCAACCTAAAGAAGTATATCGACCTCGGACGTGAAAATTGTGTAAAGTCTCATCACTTGACATTCATATAATACACAACCATAATAATATATACATTGTATAAAACAGAAATTTTATAGGTTAAGATACAAATGGCATTATATAAAGAATTGTCAGACAGTATAGACATTTCAATAAATCACAACTATATATTTAACCTACATTTCAGTTCTGTAAAAACATAACTATCAATAAAGCATAGAAAATACTATTTTTCTGCTTAAAATATCAAAGCAAGTCATGACAACCATATCATAACAATCAGAATTTTCAAAAAAGATATATAAACTTATCATCATCAGATAAAATATTAAAATCAACATTGATTCTTTTAACTTTATAAAATAAATTTTTACGCAAATATGCATACTAAGGACAGATTAATAAATCATGTTTCTCATCTTCAATCTGATTATTACATAAAAAGCAAACTTTTTGGTTTACAGCTCGTTTTCACAACGACCTATTTCTATTCCCAGCGGAGCGACACAACACCTAAATTTAGCAATTAATGCACTTTGGTATCGACTAGAAATGTTTTTACTCATATACATCTCTCTTTCAAAAACATCTTTAAACAATTTATAAGTTCTCTAAATCAGTACATAATTCTAAATAGCACTCTCTAAATTTTGTCATAATTCTGTTACACAAGTTTTTCTTTTTAACAATAGCAATTCTAAAAGCCCATCGATACACTTTATAATTCACTCTATCTGTAGACATGATATAACGTCTAGACCAGTGTTTGAAACCACATCCCCACTGCTGAACACATGGAGGTATCCAACCCATATCCCCATTAACGGCGTCATTAGCGTATATTTACAAAGACCCATAAAAACATTGGATAGCTCTGTGCTGAACAGCATTTATACATGACAAATCTCTAGTGCCCCCTGGTGACTGTACTATAAATTATAACTGAGAAACGTCTATATTAAAGGACCATCATGCAAAATTACAAGACTTTGTGTTTTTGTTTTAATCTACAAAGTTTGTCGTGTAAGGTTCGTTGTCTCTTTCTTGTCTGCTGTTGTTGAGATCTTAGACAAAAGAGGTTGTTTAGTTTCCATTCTTTGTTCCATGTTTTCAACTGATGGCGCCCGTCGAAATGGACTTAAATATAAGTATATCAAAACGAACGCACATAATCCCCTGGAATGATTCCATGTAATGTTCATGCAATTCTTTATCAAGCAAATGATAACGACAGTTACCAATACCAATACCAAATAAAATACAACATAAAGTATTTCCTTTATTGATGATAAATCAGAATTATCTGAAAATGATAAAGTGTTTGATATATATCACAAGAGGCTCATGAGAGCCTGATTTCGCTCACCTGTAATTTTAGTTTCAGGCATTTGACTTATTTGTAGATCTTACTTTGCTGAACAATTTTGTCATTTACACTTTCTCTCTTTCTATAATAATATTAAAGATAACACATAACCCAAAACTGTAAAATCTCCAAAAAAATAACTATTTCTGGACAGTAACCCAACAATAAGCTGTCCTTTTGGTCTGAAGATTACTTGACAGGTAGATCTTAATCTGTTTAACACTTTCACCTATGTCAGTTTTGCTCTTACTGCTTTAGTTTTTCAGATGAAAGCCAAAACCTTCATTTGACCCCTCTGTTCTATTTTTAGAAACTGCCGCCATGTTTTTGAATGGATCAAATTCACGAATACAATCTATAAACTAAATACCCTAAGGAACATTCGCTTAAATTTTTAAAGTATTTGGCCAAGTAGTTTCAGAGAAGAAGATTTTTAAAAAAGTAATTAGACTTTCACAAAAAATGTAAAAAAAACATTTTAAGGGCAATAACTCCTAAAGGGGTCAATTGACTATTTTGATCATATGACTTTTTTGTAGATCTTACTTAGCTGAACATTTATTGCCATTTATTCTTTCTCTCTATCTATTATAATATTAAAATAACCAAAAACAGTAAAATTTAATAAAAATAAACTATATCCAACAGTAACCCAACAATGGGTTGTCGAACTTGTCTGAAAATTTCATAACAGATAGATTATGACCCATTTATCACTTTAACTCCCTTTCACTTTTGCTCTAACTGCTGTAGTTTTTGAGATATAAGCCAAAAACTGCTTTTGTCCCCTATGTTCTATTTTTAGCTATGGCGGCCATGTGTAATTATGGATCAAAACTTCGGATACAATTTATAAACTAGATACCATAAGAAACATTCAGTTAAAGTTTGGGAGTATTTGGCCCAGTAGTTTCAGAGAAGAAGATTATTGGAAAAGTAATAGACTTGCACGAAAAATGTAAAAAATAAACGTTTCAAGGGCAATAACTCCTTAAGGAGTCAATTGACTATTTTGATCATTTGACTTTTTCTAGTTTCTATTTAGCTGAACATTTTTGCCGTTTACACTCTCTCTCTATCTATTATAATATTAACAAGCATTCTGTGAGTATTGCATGAAAATTTCATAGCAGATAGATCTTGACTTATTCATCACTTGAACTCCGCCACTTTTGCTCTAACTGTTATAGTTTTTGAGATAAAAGCCAAAAACTGCATTTGACCCCTATGTTCTATTTTTAGTCATGGTGGCTATGTTTGTTAATGGATCAAAACTTCGGATACAATTTATAAACCATTTACCATAAGGAACATTCAGTTAAAGTTTAGAGGTATTAGGTCTAATAGTTTCAGAGGAGAAGATTTTTAAATGTAAGCAAACATGATGAACAAATTGTGTAAAATTGTCTTTAAAGGGCAATAACTCAATTGACAATTTTGGTCATAATAACTTTTTTGTAGATCTTACTTTGCTGAACATTTTTGCTGTTTACAGTTTATCTTTATCTTCAATAATATTCAAGATAATAACCAAAAACTGCAAAATTTCCTTAAAATTACCAATTTAGTGGCAGCAACCCAACAACGGGTTGTTCGGTTCGTTTGAAAATTTCAGGACTGATAGATCTTGACCTATTGAACATTTCCCCCTCGTCAGATTTGCTCTAAATGGTTTAGTTTTTGAGATATAAGTCAAAAACTGTATTTGACCCCTATGTTCTATTTTTAGCCATGGCGGCCATTTTTGTTGATGGATCAAAAAATCGTATACAATTCATAAACTAAATACCCTCAGGAACATTCTTTCTTTCAGTTTAAGTTTGAAGGTATTTGGACCAGTAGTTTCAGAGGAGAAGATTCTTGAAATAGTTTACGACGACGACAACAGACGACAACGACAGACGACGGACGACGACGGACGCCGAGTGATGGCATTAGCTCACATGGCCAACTTTGGGCCAGGTGAGCCAAAAATTGGTCTACAAATAGTCAATTCAAGAAAATTTAATAGCAAATATGTGAGGACATGCACTTTTGAATTGCAAACGTCTTCACTTACTAAAATTTCATATACAGACTGTTTTCAAAATTAGGCGAGATCATTTCATGTATTCTACTTGGCAATCAGGAATATCTCTGCGTAATTTTAACACCAGAGCATTTTTGGAAGACTAAAATACTGTACACTGTGAATAGTTTTCCATCCAAAATATTAAGTGATATTTCTCATTTTATGATTTCAAAACTTTACAATTGTACATAATATATGCATGTTGTCTTTTGGCAATCTCCTAAAAATTTAGTATGATGATGGTTTTGTGGTGAGATAAAAGAAAGTAGTGTATGTGTATTTTTTTCAGGTAACGAGAGTTGATGTGGGATAATGAAATACAGATTAAACAAGAATGTGTCTCCACAGTACACGGATGCTCCACTCGCACTATCATTTTCTATGTTCAGTGGACCGTGAAATTGGGGTCAAAATTCTAATTTGGCATTCAAATTAGAAAGATCATATCATAGGGAACATCTGTACTAAGTTTCAAGTTGATTGGACTTCAACTTCATCAAAAACTACCTTGACCAAAAACTTTAACCTGAAGCGACCATAACCCCTAAAATCAATCCCAATTCCCAGTGGAATGGAACCTTGTGTTAAAATTTCATAGAGATCCATACACTTATACTCAAGTTATTGTCTGTGAACCAAAATGCCTTCGGACGACAAATGTATTCGGACGACGATGCAAACATCACCATAGCATGATACGGACGCAAAAATTTTACGGTCGTATAAAAAGTAATTATATTTGAGTAATGGAGAAGACAATTCTAAGTTGTACAACTTGTGTCTGATCCTTTTTTCTTGTATTATTTCGAGAATAAAATACGTTTTAACTAAACTATAAGGCATTAGATTTTTATACTTTTGCCGTTTCTTTAAGGAATGACTGTAATATTTTTTCTGTCTATGAAGAAATAGCATCAAAAATGTGGTGCACACTGAATAACCCGCGTAGTGGGTTATTTTAAAGTGTGCACCACATTTTTTATGTTATTTCGAATAGAAAGAAAAAATATTACAGTCATTTCTTATAATTTAATTCTAAATTCCATTTTAAGGTAGATAGGGTGTCTTCCTCCATTTTGGATTTTGAAATACCAGAAAACAATCGGTCTAGATCTTTAAGAAAATGTGAAAATTTTGAGAGTAGTAGGTAATGCATGTGTAAGAATTTTCATTTCAATATAGAAAATGACATGTTTTATCATATTTATAGTTGTATTTTACAAAAAACAGAATACTTTTTGTTTGATTCAATTTTTTCCAACTTTACCATATAAGGGGAGGCAACTCAAATGTTAGGGCAGATAATTCAGATAAAGTTACTTTTACAATAGAATGTGTTAGGAATTTACCTATTTTATTATGTAGCAAGAAAACGGGTCCCGTGACCCCATTTTTTCTTTTTCTCATCTGAAAGCACAATATTAGAGCTATCTTCTCATATTTTATTTCAAAATTCGATGGTGTAGTTTTCGTTTTATGGCAGAAAATTGGGTTTTCCATGCATAATCTATACAAAATCTATCAATTTTGCACAACCTGTAGCGTGAAAATAAGCCCCGTGACCCATTCTTTTTATTATTTTTTTTTTAAAAGCATGATATAAACTACATTTTGGCAAATTATTAAAAAATTCTATGGATTATAATTTAGACACCCCATCTACCTTAAACCGGAGTTAACCATGAAAAAACGTTGATGACGTCACGGTCACATGACAAAATTATGTCTATGAGCTGATAAACAAAACAACATCAGCCAATCAGAAGACGCGTTACATCCAAAATTAAATTATACGTGATTATATTGTTTTCGGCGTGCATGAGAATAATTTTACAGCAACCTGACCGCAAGTATATTTGTGAATGGACATGTCATGTAATTATTAAAAGATGCTATTAGTATTAACGGTGACTGTAGTTAATCATTCATGACATAATTAAAAGAAACAAAACAATCAAATCATGTGCTTAGTTTTTTTTCAATTCGTTTCAACAAAGCGTTAGATTTATGGCTTGTGTGAACTCTTAGATGCATTATTAAAACACAGCAACAACATATACCTGTCAGAACCTGTATTTAGGTTAAACATACAGCTTGAATAACTCTAAATTAAACCTAGTACTATCTGACATAATAGGTTACAAAGATTATCTTATTTCACTAAGGAGATAATAAAGGGTGTTTTGTTGAGATGATCAACTGCAGGCCGAACAGACAATGATGAACTTTCCTAACTTGGACCGATACTACGTGTTGTTGTCTCAACTCACAAGTGACATGCGGTCTTGTATCTCAAGATACCAGTATAGTCGTCCCAGCTGTAATTTTACAGATTGTTTCCTATTCCCGATTGTGACATTCGCACGGCGGGTATTTTATACATAGCAGAAGACGCTTACCCTATCGACATACCAGGTCTCGCTCCGTTTGAAGTTTATGCCATTCCCTCAGTTTCTGTCTGTTGCCTTGATAAGCCTCTTCCCCAATCGATTGACGAGATTTGAACATCGGTAAATTACACTTGCCTTCACTTATCACGAATTGAGCGTCTTTAAATGTAGTAACAAGAATATCGCTGTTACTCATTTCATACATTAAAGCATCACAAACTGTGCTGGAGAATCAAAGATTAGAACATACTAAATCATATAATTTTCCTTAGTTTCTTCTTACCTTTGTCATCTAACTTGAATTCCTTATCTTTTATTTTATATGTTGATTTTCCTATCGTGCAGGACATCCGGACATTGCCATCCTTCACATCGTTGATGATAATTGTCTGGTATGATGTGTAAAAAAATCCTGAGATACTAGTTTTTGACACGATATTAGATGTCAAATCCTGTCCCTGTTAAGTAAATAAACAAGTTTTATACAACAGCTGTATTTACCATAGCTGTATTTGGGCAAACCTTTCAAAAAAGTGGGTCATCAATGCTCTTCAACTTCGTACTTAATTTGGTCTATTACCTTTTTTGGTTCGGGAGCGTCACTGATGAGTCTTTTGTGAATGATGCGCGCGTCTGGCGTGTATTTTTTGGTATTTTTTTTTTTTAAATATCCAAATTTAACAACAAACGTAATAAGATCACTTCAACTCTCAAGGAAGGAATATCATCATATCTGTCTATAGGGAAGGATATTTCATATATATTGAAGAAAAAAACAACCAGCTCATCCGAAGAGCTTAAGTAAAAAGAATAATATGTAATCAGATAAGGACAATTTTGTTGTTACAATACAGAAGACTATTAATTATGCATTACCGACCGTGCAGACCCTCACGTGTAGTCAAAGTCGTTAAAAACCAGCCTCATCATCATCTTAATAGTCACATAGTAGATATATGTTATGAATATGACAGAATCAATATGTTCCCACAATTTGACATTTTATAGGCTGGTAATGTGTTACGTTAAGGCAATTAACTATTTCTGGACTGGGACGAGTGATTTCAGCCAAACACAATAGTTTAATTTTGTAAATATGCTTTTTTTAAAATGTAAGTATATGTTTTGAAACATGACAGTTTTAATGTATGGGATATCCTGTTCAAAGGTTCAAAGGATTCGTATTTTTTACGATCAGATGAAAAACAATACCGCCATAAATAGGTAAAATAGAAGTAAAACTACAGTTTTTGGCTTTTGCCTCAAAATTTAGATAATTAGAGCTTAACTGACAGTAAAATCTCGTCGATAGAAGACAAAACAGTTGGGAGGTTAAATCAATTAGAAAGTTAGTGCGCATTGAAAACCTAAATTCAAACAGTTGTGCTGATGCTTGCTTAGACGACCTTTGGATGTCGGTAGAAAAAACTTTTTTTTGCAAATTTTTTTAGATTTGTCAAAAAATACGTTTCAAGTATATTCTAAGTTAATTGAGTACTAAACTGATCACTAGGTTAATATCCATCTACCCTGAAATTTTCAGGAAATTGGATTACACAATTTGGAGTTATCCCTAAAATATATATTACGCAAATTTTTCAGTTTGTTAACTTTTAACTTGGAAACTTTTATCGACAGGCAGAAACTTTTTATAAATAAAAAATTACCAGAAGGACAAGATTTATAATAATTCATCTTTCCGAAATAATCAGTCAACTCTTTATAAGAGTTATTGCCCTTCAAAAAGGCTTTGCACCATTTTTTTTTTTTTTTTTGTGTGTTTTGAGCCATTATTCTTTAGAACAACAATAGATTTAGAGAAACTGTGAACAATTTTAATGATCAACCTACAAATGAAGATAACTGCACACATTAGAAAATGTGTAAATGGCACGCTTAAACAAGTTTTTTTAATTAAGTTTAGTTCATTTGCACAAACTACTGTCAGAGGTCAACAACTTATTTCAGTTCCGATTTTGATTTAAAAAAAATAAATACTGTTAAACTCATTAATGTGTACCGTATGTTTTGGTTATTATGAATAGTTCAATGGTGTGACACTGAAAAAGTATTATTTATATACATATACAATAAAATACTCCGACGGGCGCAGCTTGATACGACCGCATAGGTCGAACTCTGAAAAGTTGGGGCAAGTATGGACACTACATTCAAGTTTTATATAGCTCTGAATTTGGATTGTGATTAAATATTTGACACAGCATAAGTTTCTGACACAGAATGAATGTGGTCAAAGAACTAAAAAAATTGAAATTGGACTTTTACCTATTATGGTCCAATATCCATTCAGCATATCCAAGTACACTATGAATCTACTTACAATTTCTATTAATTGCGCAATACAGCTCTGAATTTGGATTGTGATTAAATATTTGACATAGCATAGGTTTCTGATAACGAATAATTCTTATATGATTTGCATATTAGGGAATGCGTTTATACGATTGGTCGATAGGGCTTTTGGTAGTGGCCCTTGACGTTGTTTATTTTTCTATAGACGACGTTGACAAAACTACTTTTTGTAACCAATGTAAACAAGATGGCGGCGACGTTGAAAAATTTATTTTCACTTCGCGTTCATCGTTAAATAATTTAATTTTGGATTAACGCGTCTTCTGATTGGCTGACGGTGTTTTTGTTTATCAGCTCATATACATAATTTAGTCATGTGACCGTGACGTCGTCAACGTTTTTTCATGATTTACTCCGGTTTAAAATGGAATTAAGAATTAAATTATAAGGAATGACTGTAATATTTGTTCTGTCTATTCGAAATAACATTAAAAAAATGTGGTGCACACTTTAAAATAACCCGCTACGCGGGTTATTCAGTGTGCACCACATTTTTTATGTTATTTCTTCATAGACAGAAAAAATATTACAGTCATTCCTTAAAGAAAATAATAAACACAAAACATTCATTTTAATGATAAGATATTTTTGTAGTTTATTTTTTATCAGTTAGCAAATTCCATGTATTACTTTTTTTTTTTGCGTTAAACAAAAAATATATTCATGCGCTAGGCCAATTCAATGACACACATATACAATTTAGGTGTGATAGAGGTTACGAGTAGGGAAATTAAATTCCTTATCCCCAATTTAAAGAATTCTAAGGATTAAACGCATTTTTAAAGAAATTTATTGGTGTATAAACTGGACCAAGTCACACAAACATATCATAAAAGTCCTTCGGACTTTTATTTGTTTGTGAGTGAATTGGTCGAGTTTGTACACCAATAAATTCCTTTAAAAAAGCGTTTAATCCTATAATGAATATGGTCTAAGAACTTAAAAATTTAAAATATGACATTTACCTATTATGGTCCAATATCCAAAATCTAAATATGTGTTTGGATTCAGCACATCAAAGAACCCCAAGAATTCAATTTTTGATGAAATCAAACAAACAGGTTTAATTTTGGACCCTTTGGACCCCGATTTAGACTAACTTGATAACTGGGCCAAAAATCAAAAATCTGAATACATGTTTAGATTCAGCATATCAAAGAACCACAAGAATTGAATTTTTGTTAAAATCAAACTAAGTTTAATTTTGGATCCTTTGGACCTTAATGTGGACAAATTGGAAAACCGGGTCCAAAATCAAAAATTTAAATAGACGATTAGATTCAGCATATCAAAGAACCCCAAGAATTCAATTTTTGATGAAATCGAACAAAATTAAATTTGGACCCTTTGGACCTCAATGTGGACCAATTTAAAAACGGGACACAAAATCCAAAATCTATATACACAGTTAGATTCAGCATATTAAAGAACCCCAAGAATTCAAGACTGAGAATAAATCCCCATTGGTATTGGTCAAGAAATAAGCGATTTATATAAAGTGTTAGAAAAATATTTGTTTTTTTTCCACGTTTCCCAAACGGTTAGGGCCATAACCTCCAAAATCAATCCCAACCTTCCATTTTTGGTATGGACCCTTCTGCAATTTCATAGAGATCCATAGACTTATATTCAAGTTATTGTCCTTGTTTATTGGCCCCTTATTCCTAAACAGTTTGGGCCATAGACCCCAAAATGTATCCCAACCTACCTTTTAATGTATGAAACCATGTGGTATAATTTCATAGAGATCCATACACTTATACACAAGTAATTGTCCCGAAACAAGACAAATGCTTGTTTTTAACACTTTTTGGCCCCTGGTTCATAAACAGTTAGGACAATAACCCAAAATTTTAATCTCAACCTTCCTTTTGTGGAATGGAACCTTGTAGTACAATTTCATAGAGATCGATATACGTATACTCTAGTTATTGTCTGGAAACCAAATGTCTTCGGACGACGATAACGACGACGACAACGTCATACCATTATACGACCGCAAAATATTGCCGCAATTAAGTTTAAAATAACCCGGCTAGTGTAGCATAATAGCAACTAGAATATCCCTGTTTTTGTATAAAAAAATATGAGAAAATTTAGAATTTACTCCAACTCAATTGAAAACATACTCAAATCATAGATATAATATCTATGCTCAAATTAAGACGAGAAACCCCTAAGTTAAAGTTGGATATACTTTGGTTAAAGTAGTCCAAGATGTGTAGGTTGCATCAACATATAGTTGTAGAAATGTATGATTATTTACTGTTGCCTGTTCGTAGAAAATGTCACCATACTGGTGTGATCCAGTTGGAACAACAACAAAGCGCACAATCAAATACAAAAAGTAAAAACGTTTGGTTTTTTTATTCGTTTCTTTATAAAAACAAGGAGATGTGGTATGATTGCCAATGAGACAACTACCCACCAAAGTTCAAATGAAGTGGATGTAAGCAATTAAAGGCAACCGTGCGGCCTTCAACTATGAGAAAAATCCGTACCGTATAGTCGGCAATAAAAGGCCGATAGATTAGGGTTTTTCTGTGGGAATTTATTTTTGTATGTCTTTTGCGGTTATTCATAATAATTTTTATTCATACATTTAGCTTTTGTCATATTCTTCTATTTTTCTATGGTTGATTTTTCTATTGATTTCCTTTTATGCACAAATGAACTTATCCTAAGTCACATAAAGCTATATACATTATTATCCATTCTGTGCAGTCTTTCTGTTAAATAAAACCGGCAAATTACCAAAAAACTTTAAGGCTATTAAAATATTTCCTTTTTCCGGGGTTTTAAGCAAGTTGTAGTTTTCATAGAAAAAGTGTTTCAATCTGCTTCAAATTATCCAATACAATATCGCTTATAGTTAATGAATCTCAAACTCAGGAAAGTACACGGAATGGCATTATTTGAGAGGTTTTGTATGTTTGAAACGATAGTAAGAAAATGAAATTTTGTTGTTCAGAAATGATAAAAATGTAAAAATTATCATGTACTTACTTTTTCTTGAATGATATTTCTTAAATGTTTTTGAAGGTTTTAAATAGGACCAATGCCATTAGCGATATTGTTCAAAAGCAAGATCTTATCATAAATGGCCGACCTTATGTCATAATTAATAAAGGGAAGCAGCATGATCGAATCCGTGTATTTTTCTCTAGTACACGTATTTTTTTCTCATTGATAAACATAACTTTTTCGGTTCATTATTACAGTGTAACATGCGTTTTTTTGGCATTTCAATCAAACAGAACAGATCCCATAATTTTTTACACTATTTACGTATTTTAAATTTGTTAATTTCTATCGTTCTCTCTACATATTGAGTATTTTGATTACCAATATATCATAATTGAACTTACCTTATATAGAACAAAGCATTTAGGTTTTGGATACACATTTGTAAAGTTTACTTCAATAATGTATGAATTTCTGTCTACTTTGTCACGGACTAGCCTTTCAATGTCTTCCTTTGGTTGAACTGAAAATTAAACAAAATCACAGTTCAGTTGGACCTCACCATTTGAGTTAGGTTTACTAATCTTCGATAGAAATATTTTTCATGTTGTCAAACTTTAATTTCTAGTATACGTCTAAACATGTGACAACTTTACGACAGACATTCTCCATCGGATAACCCGTGGTTATACAGGGCTAACACCATAGATTATGTATAATTCGTCTCAAATTTAACCCAACAACATTAGATCTGCAAATTTGTGTAATCAAAAATGTTTTCTTCTTTTCGAACCCCTGCTTCTGTGACATCCTGGCAACACAGTATTAGCATTTCCTACTCTGCATGCATCATCCGTCATGTGAGTTCACATACAGTCAAAATGTCACAATCGGAAATAGGACAAAATCAGTAAAATTACAGATTAGACGACTTTATTGGTATCTAAAGATCTAAGACTGCGAAAACAGTTGACACACCGACATATTGATCCGGTTAACCAATTCGTTATGGTGACCGTAAAAATTATGTACAAGATAAAATAACAAAATTACCGAAATCCAAGGAAAATTCAAAACGGAAAGTCCTTTAACAAATGGCAGAATCAAAAGCTCAAACACATCAACCGAATGGAAAACAACTGTCGAATTCAGTCGTTCTTCCTCATACTTCTGTTGGGGCAGTTTTTGTGTTAGGACCGCATCCTTAACACAAAGTCCGTATACATACAATATAAAAGTTTTATGCATGTATTTGTTGTTTAATGTTAAGGAGATGTGTTCATTAAATATAAAGGGCAAGTAGAACCGCTGTCATGATTGTCTGTCATACAAAATTAAGGGTTTATTTTTTAGTGCTCTTCAAATTCTTTATTGATTTTGCCTTCATGTCGATTCGAAACGAGTGATCAAATTTGTGAAGATAAAGTGCCTTGCGTACTTTCAACTTCTTTTGGATATATCTGATGAATGATTGTCTCATTGACACGAGACATGCATCTCCTTAGTTTTATATAAATCATGAGCCTGGAATCTTTGATGAGTTTTTTTTATTTTATATCTGTTGTGTTCTTGATAAGTTTTAAAAACAGCATATGTTTGTTATAAAGCCGTTAGTTTTCTCAATTGAATTGCTTCCTATATTTTTCATGTCGGGGCCTTTTATAGCCGACCATACGGTATGGGTTTTTCTCATTGTTGAAGGCCGTACGGTTGCCTATAATTGCTTACATCCACTTCATTTAAATTTTGTGGATAGTTGTCTCATTGGCAATCATACCACATCTCCTTATTTTTATATGATTAACATCACTGTAACATAGGCAAACTATTTCAAAAGATTATTTATCTTATTGTTTAGATTAAAATGAGAATCTTAAGGAAAGAGTCTTTTAACGTCCTTAGAAAAATTCCAACAACATTTTTTACGGATCTAATTGTATCTTTATATGAAAAGCATTTACTCCATATTATTTCGTTTACGGCAAATTATAAAATGAAAAGAAAGTTGACCAGATTTGTGTTCCTAATGCAAACAGTCTGGCTTACAAAAATTACCCAGAATTCGCACCTGGAGTTCATAATCACTCATACCATAAGCATACATACGTTCAAAGTCGTCTTCGTTGAGGCTGAGTTTTTTACTGTAACTTCTTAAGTTGTAGGTGCATGTATAATCAATATTCACATCCGACGGACTGAAGTTTTTTATCACAAGTGTACACTTGTCTTCCCAAATCAACAGCGAATACTTAGATGGATATCTAGAGTGTGAATTGGCAGCTATATTAGTTGACTCATTATTTATAAATATATCCCAAGATGCCTGACCTACGGCTGTATTTTGTACGCAGCATGGAATATTGCAAACAAGCTTAACATCCGTTCCAAATTCCATTGGTGTAACGGGATTCCATACAACTACAAAAGAAAATGACTTTTTACAGTTCAATTGCTTTTAAAATACTGTCCAATATTAAGACAATGAAATTGACTGTTTATAAATTTGCTGCGTCAGAAGCGCTTTTTTGGATTTACCTTCCTGTGGTGACGGCTCAAACACCAAAACATTAAAGCTTATGATAGATCTATATAAATACAAAATCGGTATGGTCAGGTAAAACAGTAAAAGTTCATAGACATTGTAAAATTGAGTATCCAAATGAACATTAATAAGAAGCGCCATCTTACAGATATGCATGAATATTGCATTTTTGTTAACGAAAATGAATTTTTCTGACTTGATTAATATAATTGCTATATTTACTTTTTACCCGCTGAAATAACCATATGCTACTTTGAATTTCATTTTAAAATCATACCATTCCATTTTAAAATCATTTTTTTATATATAAATCATTCGCCAAAGTGGCAATAAATAGGATCATGCAAAAGGGTATACATACAAACAGCTTCGGTGGAAATTGTAAAAAGTCATTTATTAAAACATCATAGTGTGTATATGGTGTTTTATGACGATAACCATTGTCGTGTCTTTGCTGAGTGGAAAAAGTTAAAATATCCTTTTATAAACTTCGGATGTACCAAAACAGGTACTTCAGATCTGACAAGCATGCAAAATGTACCCTCTTTTTTAAATTACATGCAATTTTTTTATTATTCAAAATTATAAGTCAAAAAGTGTTCTACAGTGATCACCAGTCATTCAGCTTTTATTAGATACCAAAATTACCTGAATATTCTACACATTTTGAATATTACACCCATGCGTAGGAACTATTTTGTGTTAAATATGTACTACTTTCTGCATGTGCTTTCTGAAAGAGCCCGAATTAGTGGTGTTACACCTAAACCATTAAAAACTGTAGTTTCAATACTTTTCCATTTTATGAGTCACGATGATGAAGCCCAAAAATTGACACCAGTTCAAACCCGGGTTTGATTTCATGTATTTAATTGCTGATTAAAGTAGTTATATGACCTTCAAAGCTTCACTTGAATTCGTTGTCAAAGTAGGAAAAGCGAAATACTAGTAATTATTTTAAATCTTGCCTTTTGTCTTGTCAGCTGGTTTGGCCATGTATCCGGACACTACCATCAGAATCATGAGAATTCCGATACACATTATTGCAGTTCTGCTATAAAATAATAAAAATAAAAATGTATAATATATATGAGATGACACACGAATATCATAAATAGGTTGTATTGTCCAGTGTTTTGTAGAAAATGTATATATGCCATGTGAGCTTTTGCCATCACATGGCGTTCTTGGTCGTCGTCCGTCGTCGTAAACTTTTCAAATAACATTCTTCTCTGAAATATCGAAACAAATTTTAACAAAAGTTTGGCTTATTGATCTTTAGGATTTCTAGTTTGAAGTTTGCGTTTTTATTCCTGCCAATCGCAGTTTATGGTAATTACCGTGAAAACTATTATAGATAAGGAGAAATTTTAAACAGCAAAAATGTTAAGCAAAGTAAGATCTACCAATAAATTTGAGAACCAAATTCATCAATTAGTCCCTTATATGAGTAATTGCACTTGAAAAACTATTTTTTATTAAATATTAAATTTTGTTTTCAGAAACTATGATAGATAGACAGAAATTTTGAATGGCAAAAATGTTCAGCAAATTATGACCTTCAAATAAATGAACATGACTGAAATAGTCAATTAAATCCTTATAGGAGTTATTACCCTTGAAAGACATTTTTTTTTTTCATTTTTTAAGATCTTTTGCAGAAACATATTATTGTAATAGATAGAGAAACTTCAAACAGCAAAAATGTTCAGCTAAGTAAGAACTACAAATAAGCAAACATGACCGAAATCGTAAATTGATCTCTTATAGGAGTTATTTCCCTTAAAAAGATGATTTTTACCATTTTTTTAGGGTTTTATAGAAACTATGATATAGAGAGAGAAACTTCTAAAGACATGTTCAAACACACATTAATATACATTAAACAGCAAAATAAACCCTGATGCAAGATCTACCCCCAAATAAATCCAGTTGTGCGATTCCGGCTCCTAGGAGCCTCTTGTTTTTAAATGCCACGGAAATCACACCAGCTGCTCTTCAAAGTATTCGCTGAACAAAAACAAACTAGTCTCCAAGGATCCTGTATCGCTTAAAATTATTCAAAGGAGCTAGAAAATCTGTGTTGAATGGAAACTAGTGGGTAACTATAGATTGATTTTTTTTAAATTTTTTTTTAAATAAAAATTAGGTTAAATTGTGATATAGGGCAACAATTCCTGTAATGAGTCGATTAACTATTTCATTCATATTGACTTATTTGAAGATCTTCTGTTGCTAATCAGTTTAACTAAGCAGGTTTCAGTCTATCTATAACTCCTGAAAAGACTGATTAGCTTGGCCATATTGTCTTATTAGTAGATCCTGTCTTATTGATAATTGTTTACAGTTTAAAGTATCTCTCTTTCTTTCAAAGTTTTCAAGATTATATAGTCAAACCTAAGAAGGATAAAAATAGAATAACATATAACGGGAATCAATTGACGCTTTCGGCTCTTATATGTTATTTGTAGATTTTATTTTACTGATTATATTTACTCTTTACAACTTCTCTCTATCTACTACAGTTGTCACAGAAGTCACATAAAAAATAGGTAAGAAACGTCACTCATGGGAAGTAACTCGTTGATGACTATTTTTTCACAGACTTGTTTGTAGATCTTACGATTTGCTATTTACAATTTCTCCCTTTCCTTTATAGTTTCAACAGAAATCACATACAAATGGGTCAGTATAAATCGTCATTAAAGGGCAATATTATTGATAAGTTGGATGACCTTTTTCTGCCATGTGACTTATTAGAAGATCTTATTTTGCTGATCATTTCTGATTTTCACAGTTTCTCTCTATCTACTTCTTAGTTTCTGCAATGAAATTAGAAAAATGGGTGACAATCGACATTCAAGGGCAATTACTCCAAAAAGGAGTAAACTGGCGATTTCTGAAATTATGACTTATCTGGAAATTTTACTTGGTCTGGTCATTGAATGAAATAGAAAATAGAAACGAGGAATGTGTCAAAGAGACAACAATCCAACCAAAGAACAGCAATACGTCTTCAACGCAGCGAGAAAATCAGGTGGCGGGCTTCAGTTGGCCCTTAAACAACAATGTATACTAGTTCAGCGAAATGGACACCACACTAAACTCCGAGATATACAAATGAACCAAAACTAAAAAACACACAAGACTAACAAAGCCTAGAGGTTCCTGACTTGGGACAGGCGCATAAATGCGGCGGGTGAAACTTGTTTTGTGAGATCTCAATCCTCCTGCTATATCTCTAGCTGAGTGTGGAATAAACAAACACACAGCAAAACGCACAGTAAAACTCAGTTCAAAAGAAATCCGTGTCCGATGTTAGAATAGGTAACAGAAGAAACTAAGAAAATGACAATGATAAACATAAATTAACAAACTTTAAGGACTACTAGCAGTTACTGACTTGCCAGCTCCAATTAAACTAGTTGAAAGATTATATCTTCATCAGATGAAAATTAACCACAATCCCTCCCGTCAGGGGTTTAGTAGCATGCCAAAATAATTTATACGAGAAGAACATAACCCGTATCATGTCAACAACTTGTTTTAGACTAGAATAAATGTGTTTATTTCCGATGCAAAGACCCTATGAGTGAATCAATATTAATTCCAAAGAATGCCATCTTTGATGACTTGTCAACGGTATTGTAAGTATATCCCTTGTGAATAAGTCTGTTTAAAGGTTTGGTTAGCTTTTGAGGTGATGACGACATTTTTGTGCTTTGTATAAAATATAACCATAAAATATTGGATGTGAAATACCTGAATGTATAAGTGGTCTGCAGGTTTGCTCTTAATGTTTTAGTATATAAGATATAAGCCAGAATACTGCAATATTTCGTTATGTTCTATTTTTACCCAAAAAAGTATTAACCAAACGATCGACTATATCAACCAACGAATGGAAAACAACTATCATATTCCTGAAAATGGTGGGTAAATAGCTAGCTTAACCTCCCGTTTTCATGTCGGGGCCTTTTATAGCCGACTATATGGTATTGGTTTTTCGCATTGTTGAAGGCCGTACGGTTGCCTATAATTGCTTACAATTATTTCATTTGAACTTTGGTGGAAAGTTGTCTCATTGGCAATCATACCACATCTCCTTATTTCTATACTATAAAAACCTCATGCGTCCGAATCGTACCAACAGCGGCCATGTTTGTTGATGGATCAAGTCTGCGGATATAATTTTTAAAGTAGATTATCTAAGAAACATGCATTCACAGTAAGTGTGGTTACATTTTGCCCATTATTTTCAGATGAGAATATTTATTTTTCAAGTTTACAACGACGGACGGCAACGATGAACGCCTAATGCTTGAAGGTTCGTGTTTATATTTTGCAGTGTATCAACTGCAGTAGAATATTAATGCTATTTGAATCTTTTTGAATATGTTTCGGACATTCAACATTCCTTCAAACAGTCTTATGGTCATCAGTTCGCTTATCAATACATTGATACAGATAAGATAATCTATTTTATTAAAGTTTCACCACCCATTACAGTGTCTATATACATGGTGCAGGCGGTGTTGACACGATGTCACAGACGCAAGGGTTCGAATCCCGCTGAGGGAAGAACAAAAATTTGCTAACGCAAATTTGAGGATCTAACATTGTTGGGCTAAATTTGAGACGAATAATATATACCAAGGAATTGTATATTTCAAAGGAATGGAAACGCGGCCGACTTCAAAGAAAATTGTATGATGCATCTCTGACTTGGGTGGTGTGTTAATTACATCCCGTCGCTCTAACTGGCTCATTACTTCTCTGGCAGTAGTTATCGAACTTGGTCATTTAATCATGAAATGAATCTATTTAGATATACAATTCCTTCAATGAAATAAACAAAAAATACAACCTTAAACAAAGTTACTTCTGAAAAACATTTTTTTTTCTTGTACCTCCTCTTGATATTTCACGAAGGTATGCAACAATTAAGATCAATTAATTATAGATGAAATCTGACATTATACGAGTTTTTAAAAAGATTTAAGGTAATGCAAAAAGTTAAAAAATAACTTTTCAATTTTGGAATATGACTGGTATAGAAAAGTATAAAGGAAGAAGTACGTGAACAGATGTAGTATTTTGTCTAGATAAAAGAACTTAGATAATAGATGTTATAATAAACACCGGTATGGGATATCCAATTTGCAGGTATAATCTATCATGTATCAATGATAAGCTAATTTTTGTCGTATATATATTTAAGCAGGAACCGTGTATACTAACTATAGGCTGTCCCTGATTTAAGGTGTCAAAAAGAAATCACGCCGAGCTCACCTGTTAATAAATGCTAAATTATGCCGTCGTGCAATAATTTTTTTTATTAGAAACAGTTAAAACTTTCCGACATTCGCATATTATTTATTTTAACACCGAAGGAATATTTTGCGACCTCTAGACTACTGCTCTTCTAGAAAAATGGAATGAACTGTTTTGCTTTTAAGCTTGTGGTAATTTGCTGCAAAGCATGCTTGATAATGGCAAACTGTTATACCAAACAACGATTAAGTATAAAAATAGTATTTGACAAAAAAATAAATGATTAAAATCGTGTACAAAACGGCACAATCAATCCCAATCGGAAGTCTTATATACATTTCTTGCCTGTAATTTCCGACTTCGTCGGTGTGGAACTTGACTGATCAAAATGGCGTCAATGTGAACTATAAACATGGGATTTTGAAAAATCATAGCAAATTCGTTTTTATCACCATTTTCATAAAACCAACACAATGTGATAGAAAAAAGACTAAGCTTTTAAATTGTATGTCAATGTCACATCTATTTCAAGTAGTTATTTAACCCATACCAGAATACGGCGTGTTGGCGTATTTATTGACGCACTACTTAAAATTTTCAACATGTTTCGAAATAAAATCATTTACATTGTACCAATATCATTTAGAATTCGTAGTTTATACCAAACTGTAGGAAAATATTCCTTCTTTAAAATGATATCTCATTTTCTCACTTTATTCTTTCTACTTTCCAATAATGAGAAGAAATCGTATTACACTCCCAGATCGAAAGACGTGTTTTGACAGAATAATGAAATTCAAAACTGAAATTTCGAAAAATCGTAGAAAATTCAGAAATGTTACCAGAAACTTAAAAAAATGGCAAAATACTAGAATAAGGTTTCAGCTTCATAATGATATCAACTATTTTGTTTTGCACTTCGTAGTTGCCGAGCTTTTAGAAAAAAATCAAAACACTGTATTTTTTGTTTTGTAATCCGGATGGAACTCATTCAAGTTTCAAGACCGAGGTCTATTTTAATAAGAATTTTCATAGTAAAATATTACAAACATATGTTCGATGAGGCATTAAAATGATACCTAAGGCCTTAACTATTCACGTAATGGAAGTTTATTCTTGATTTTGGGTTTCTCTCTCCTTTATATCTTCTCAAGCAGATGACCCCGTGAATTTAAAAGACCGATCTATATGACAGGAAATGGACCACCGTCATGATTCTTTATATTATTCATCATACTTCCGACCGAGTCAGACATGGATTATAGCTCTGCGGGTGCTCTGCGGGTATCCCGATTGATCTCGAGCCGCGTTTCCATTCCTTTTAAATATACAATTCCTTGTATATATATATCATCGGGTGTTAGCCCTGTATAACCACGTGATATCCGATGGAGAATGTCTGCCATAAAGTTTAGCCTGGAATCCCGGCCCGATCTAGCTGCGCGTGGCATGGTAATTCACATTACAGTGGCGGATTTACCGGGGGCACAGGGGGCACGTGCGCCCCCCCCCCCCCCCCCAGGACCAGGTCATCAAAAAAATTTCTAAAAAACTTTTATTGCTACTGACAAGGAATATTTAAAAGGAATGGAAACGCGGCTCGAGATCAATCGGGATACCCGCCGAGCATTTATTAACAGGTGAGCTCGGCGTGATTTCTTTTTGACACCTTAAATCAGGGACAGCCTATAGTTAGTAACTAACTAACTGGAAGTGTTTAACGACCTTGACTGGATGTACATCCCTCGCATGGTCGGCTCGGTGCCCGAAGGCGTTTGGTGAGCATTAGAATATTTTCTGCAGTGGGTCAGAAACAGGTGGAAGACGCCATTTTGCTAGGTCGCCATCTTGGTTTTGCTGAGTTGTTTTTGGTTTGTTTACTATTTTGTTGTTTCTTTACAGTCGAAACTCCACAACGGCAACAATAGTTAGTATACACGGTTCCTGCTTAAATATATATACGACAAAAATTAGCTTATCAATGATACATGATAGATTATACCTGCAAATTGGATATCCCATACCGGTGTTTATTATAACACCTATTATCTAAGTTCTTTTATCTAGACAAAATACTACATCTGTTCACGTACTTCTTCCTTTATACTTTTCTATACCAGTCATATTCCAAAATTGAAAAGTTATTTTTTAACTTTTTGCATTACCTTAAATCTTTTTAAAAACTCGTATAATGTCAGATTTCATCTATAATTAATTGATCTTAATTGTTGCATACCTTCGTGAAATATCAAGAAGAGGTACAAGAAAAAAAAATGTTTTTCAGAAGTAACTTTGTTTTAGGTCGTTTTTTTTTGTTTATTTCATTGAAGGAATTGTATATCTAAAGATTCATTTCATGATTAAATGACCAAGTTCGATAACTACTGCCAGATAAGTAATGAGCCAGTTAGAGCGACGGGATGTAATTAACACACCATCCAAGTCAGAGATGCATCATACAATTTTCTTTGAAGTCGGCCGCGTTTCCATTCTTTTTAAATGTACAATTCCTTGCTACTGAATCTGCTTATCTAGAGCGGAAATCAATCACAGCTTGTGATTTGATTATTAAACTGGCCGTTAATTCACCCCAGCTTCAACATGCGTGATTTATGACAACTGATCGGTGTGTGTGTAAATATTGACACCTGTGTGAATTGACTCTTTTCAAAAGATTTTATGTAAACTACATGTACATGTTGATTGGAATAGTACGAATACTTTTATTGGTTTTTAATACAAAATCACAGATTAAGATCGATTAACAGGTGAAATCTTCTGATCAGGAAAGAAATTACAGTAACTAACTTAAATCTATGTTTTTAAAGAATATGTACAAATAGATGTTTAGTGCCAAGAATGTTGATATCGATATATGGGATATGACTTCACTGGGACTATAATACTATGTCCCAGTTCTACATTACAAAAGACTCACATTACCATTTCTTTTGATTTTTTTTCAAAACTGTGTTTTTCAATATCATACAAGATTTTTTTTTAAACTGAATGTCGTATTTCTTTTCCCTCTTATTTTCAAAGGAAACCAACAATTTGTTTTAAAAAAACCTTTTTATGAGGATATGAATGGGGTTTAAAGATAAGACAATAAGGGGCAAAAAAGTTAAATTAGAAGCGGGACCAAAAATATAGAACAGAATAAACATGATGGTAAAGAGGTGATGAAATATAAAGAATAGATTGATTGATTGCTGGTTGCTTAACGTCCAGTGGCAAATATTTCATGCATGTTTAGGACGAATATAATAGAGATCAATTGACAGAAGAAATAAGAATAGAGTGAAAAGGTAAAAAAATAAATAATATAGAACTATAGAAACCATGATCTAACAACCCCCATCATTACCACCCACACTCGAATATAAACATCTCTAAACAAATATTTAATTTTGGTTTAATGGTGCCCCCCCCCAGACAAAGGTTCTGGATCTGCCCCTGCATTACCATCCTTTACGACAGATAAAATAGCTGATCTGAAAAGTACACCATCTACTTGCCACTATACATCATGTACTGTGTTACAACCCTAGATAAAGCCGACGAGGAAAGGCATTACATCGACCACCGAAAGCTATATTTAAGTCTCCCAAACGAAGTTTGGGAAGACTTATTGTTTTTGCTCAGTTCTTATTATTATTATTATTCTTCTTCCTCTTCCTCTTCCGCCGCTTTTAAATTTGAACTTGTCCGCACCCGTTCTCCAAAACCGCTTGTCAGATTAACTTAGGATTTCACAATATGTTAGACTAACATGTCTAGTGGTGCAATCAGGGTTTTGTTTGTGCAATGGGGTTTATAAAGGGGTACTTTGAGGGGCAAAAAGAAAAGAGGGTTTTACTATAGAACCCTATGGGATTTTATTTTTAAAAATTTTCAAATGATTATAAATTGAAAACCGTTTGTGATAGACACAATCTTTTTAATTGAAAATGTTCTAAATGATAAAACCCATTAAATGAAATACAGGGTTAGTCCCCAGGGGTCACCCCCACCCCCTGCCATTTAAGAAAGTTCTAATACCTTGTAAGTGGTCAAGATCCCCACCCCTAAACCATATATATTCTGGTTTGTCATGCTAAGATGGTTTGAATGATATACAGGGTTAGTCCCCAGGGGTCATCCCGACCCCCTGCCATTTGAGAAAGTTCTAATATCTTGTAAATGGTCGAGATCCCCACCCCTAAACCATATATATTCTGGTTTGTCATGCTAAGATGGTTTGAATGATATACAGGGTTAGTCCCCAGGGGTCATCCCGACCCCCTGCCATTTGAGAAAGTTCTATTATCTGGTAAATGGTCAAGATCCCCACCCCTAAACCATATATATTCTGGTTTGTCATGCTAAGATGGTTTGAATGATATACAGGGTTAGTCCCCATGGGTCATCCCAACCCCCTGCCATTTGAGAAAGTTCTAATATCTTGTAAATGGTCGAGATCCCTACCCCTAAACCATATATATTCTGGTTTGTCATGCTAAGATGGTTTGAATGATATACAGGGTTAGTCCCCAGGGGTCATCACAACCCCCTGCCATTTGAGAAAGTTCTAATATCTTGTAAATGGTCGAGATCCCCACCCCTAAACCATATATATTCTGGTTTGTCATGATAAAGCACATCAAATGAAATACAGGGTTAGTCCCCAGGGGTCACCCCCACCCCATGCCATTTAAGAAAGTTCTAATATCTTGTAAGTGGTCACGATCCCCACCCCTAAACCATATATATTATGGTTTGTCATGCTAAGATGGTTTGAATGATATACAGGGTTAGTCCCCAGGGGTCATCCCGACCTCCTGCCATTTGAGAAAGTTCTAATATCTTGTAAATGGTCGAGATCCCCACCCCTAAACCATATATATTCTGGTTTGTCATGATAAAGCAAATCAAATGAAATACAGGGTTAGTCCCAAGGGGTCACCCCCACCCTATGCCATTTAAGAAAGTTCTAATATCTTGTAAGTGGTCAAGATCCCCACCCCTAAACCATATATATTCTGGTTTGTCATGCTTAGATGGTTTGAATGATATACAGGGTTAGTCCCCAGGGGTCATCCCGACCCCCTGCCATTTGAGAAAGTTCTAATATCTTGTAAATGGTCAAGATCCCCACCCCTAAACCATATATATTCTGGTTTGTCATGCTAAGATGGTTTGAATGATATACAGGGTTAGTGCCCAGAGGTCATCCCGACCCCCTGCTATTTGAGAAAGTTCTAATATCTTGTAAATGGTCGAGATCCCCACCCCTAAACCATATATATTCTGGTTTGTCATGCTAAGATGGTTTGAATGATATACAGGGTTAGTCCCCAGGGGTCATCCCGACCCCCTGCCATTTGAGAAAGTTCTATTATCTTGTAAATGGTCAAGATCCCCACCCCTAAACCATATATATTCTGGTTTGTCATGCTAAGATGGTTTGAATGATATACAGGGTTAGTCCCCATGGGTCATCCCAACCCCCTGCCATTTGAGAAAGTTCTAATATCTTGTAAATGGTCGAGATCCCTACCCCTAAACCATATATATTCTGGTTTGTCATGCTAAGATGGTTTGAATGATATACAGGGTTAGTCCCCAGGGGTCATCACAACCCCCTGCCATTTGAGAAAGTTCTAATATCTTGTAAATGGTCGAGATCCTCACCCCTAAACCATATATATTCTGGTTTGTCATGATAAAGCACATCAAATGAAATACAGGGTTAGTCCCCAGGGGTCACCCCCACCCCATGCCATTTAAGAAAGTTCTAATATCTTGTAAGTGGTCACGATCCCCACCCCTAAACCATATATATTATGGTTTGTCATGCTAAGATGGTTTGAATGATATACAGGGTTAGTCCCCAGGGGTCATCCCGACCTCCTGCCATTTGAGAAAGTTCTAATATCTTGTAAATGGTCGAGATCCCCACCCCTAAACCATATATATTCTGGTTTGTCATGATAAAGCAAATCAAATGAAATACAGGGTTAGTCCCAAAGGGGTCACCCCCACCCTATGCCATTTAAGAAAGTTCTAATATCTTGTAAGTGGTCAAGATCCCCACCCCTAAACCATATATATTCTGGTTTGTCATGCTTAGATGGTTTGAATGATATACAGGGTTAGTCCCCAGGGGTCATCCCGACCCCCTGCCATTTGAGAAAGTTCTAATATCTTGTAAATGGTCAAGATCCCCACCCCTAAACCATATATATTCTGGTTTGTCATGCTAAGATGGTTTGAATGATATACAGGGTTAGTGCCCAGAGGTCATCCCGACCCCCTGCCATTTGAGAAAGTTCTAATATCTTGTAAATGGTCGAGATCCCCACCCCTAAACCATATATATTCTGGTTTGTCATGATAAAACACATGAAATGAAATACAGGGTTAGTCCCCAGGGGTCACCCCCACCCCATGCCATTTAAGAAAGTTCTAATATCTTGTAAGTGGTCGAGATCCCCACCCCTAAACCATATATATTATGGTTTGTCATGCTAAGATGGTTTGAATGATATACAGGGTTAATCCCCAGGGGTCATCCCGATCCCCTGCCATTTGAGAAAGTTCTAATATCTTGTAAATGGTCGAGATCCCCACCCCTTAACCATATATATTCTGGTTTGTCATGCCAAGATGATTTGAATGATATTCAGGGTTAGTCCCTAGGCATCACTAATGCATATAACTTTACTGGACCTAACCAATTTTCACTGGACTTTGCCCAATGTCAGGCGACCCTGGGAATTACGAATTATGGGAGCTTCGTTTGGGAGACTTCGTAACAGCATCCTGTTACAATCATTTCTTGTCTTATGTAGCCTAGGTGGTCGAGTGGTCTAGGGCGCTGGACATGGTGCAGGCGGTGTTGCCACGATGTCACAGACGCATGGATTCGTATCCCGCTGAGGGAAGAACAAAAATTTGCTAACGCAAATTTGACGATCTAACATTGTTGGGCTAAATTTGAAACGAAATTATATATATATACACAAAGTCATAAGAACCTAACATTTAGTAAAAGGATTTCAGCCGAAAACGACTTATGAGTCACTATCATTAAAACAGACATCTAATATAAAGATAAAAAGACAACATTTTTTACATGTAAAAAGTATTTCGTAAATAAAACAAAAAAATACATTATATATCTTCTAGATTATAACATGTTTTCTCAGGTAAAACATAGAATAAATGGAACTAGCTAAAAAAAGGAACCATATTCTCATTTCACATAAGATAACGCAGTTTTTCAATATCGCATGAATAATCGAAATCAACATTTAGAAGACAGGCTTTGGCATTTAAATCATGTCTGATATCAGAGTAAAAACAACAATTAAAAAAGAAAGTGCTTCTCATCTTCAATTTGGCCACCATCACATAAAATACACAAACGATCTTGTAGAGGTTCCGGTGATCTAGCATATCGACCGGTTTCAACTATAATTTGTAACGAACCAGCTCTGAATAGTGAAAAAATTCGTCGGCTACATCTATTATTAACAAACTTTACACAAGGCTCCTTACCAATACAACTTTTAAACAATCTATAAAATCTTAATTTATTACCATTGACATTATTGTTATCATTCCATAACTCCTGATACCAAGATTCTTTTTCAATGGTTTATATAGAATCCCATAAATTACTCAAATTAATATTCTCTTCTACATTTTCAATCAACTTATATTTACGAGCTCACTGTAACATTCTATAATCCCATGAGGATTTTCTTCTAATCGCCCAGATATGTCCCAATTGTCGTTACTACAATCCCGTCTCCCCTTTCTAGCGAATGTGACCTACCAAATCAGACTTATCACCGGGGTTGTACTAACATGAGCAACACTACGAGTGCCACATGTGGAGCAGAATCTGATTACCCTTCCGGTGCACCTGAGATCACCCCCAGTTTTTGGTGGGGTTCTTGTTGCTCAGTCTTTTTATACCTCACCTTCGATAGTAGAGAGGCATTATGTTTTTCGGTCTGTGCGTCCGTTCGTCCGTCCATCCGTTCGTCCGTCCGTCTGTCCCGCTTCAGGTTAAAGTTTTTGGTCAAGGTAGTTTTTGATGAAGTTGAAGTCCAATCAACTTAAAACTTAGTACACATGTTCCCTATGATATGATCTTTCTAAATTTAATGCCAAATTAGAGTTTGACCCCAATTTCACGGTCCACTGAACATAGAAAATGATAGTGCGAGTGGGACATCCGTGTACTATGGACACATTCTTGTTTGTTTTCTATATTGTGTTTTGTATACTGTTGTTTGTTTATCTTTTTCTTTTTTAGCCATGGCTTTGCCAGTATGTTTTCGACTTATGAGTTTGAATGTCCCTTTGGTATCCTTCGCATCTCTTGTATGAACTTTTTCACACATTATATTGGTATTGTCACATTTAGGACGATTCCATAATTTGAAAACTTCAACTTTTAATAGAGCATCACCTGATAAAAATCCCATATCACCTCTAGCAGCTAAATTGCTGCTTTTCTTGCTTATATTTCTTGTTATAAATAAATCCGATTTGTAGCTGCAGAAGACACGTATGGCTTATGCTGAATTAAGACATTGGAATTGATTTTGTTGAATAACAATAAAAAAAATCTAGAGTACACCACGAAAGTAGCCTTTTGTCAGAGAAACGAGATATATGATATTAAAGCCAAATCTTGTTCTATTAGCTGGATCCTTTTTTATACTTTATGACCACAATGTATAGACATAGGGAATTTTGCATGATGCAGGAGGATTATGCACCTGACTATTATATGTATATTTATTTTTGTATCGGAAAATTGGAAAAGCACAAAATAGACTTCGATACCTGTATCTTGGTATTGCACAAGGTCATGTTTTTCTCTGACTGTTAATGACGTCTTTACACTAAATCAATTGGATGTTGGATGTTTACTGATTGATAGTTTAGTCTTAGGTGCATGATTTTCTTTATTAGTTGTTATTGGCTTTGAACTAGCTGTCAGTAACTGTGAGTACTCTCAGATCTGTACTTGGTGTCTTTTTGTTGTTTGGATGTTTAAGTACCCTGCCACGTCCACTCTGTGTTTTTGTTAGATGTATTTCTATTTGTATCCATCTGATGAGTTGAACCTTTTTCAACTGATTTTTATTGTTTGTTCTTATGTTGTACTGTTAAACCACTGTCCCAGGTTAGGGGAGGGTTGGCGCCTTCAAACTAGTTTAACCCCGCCACATTATGTGTGTGCCTGTCCCAAGTCAGGAGCCTGTAATTCAGTGGTTGTCGTTTGTTGCTGTATATTATATTTGTTTTTCGTTCATTATTTTGAACATAAAACAGGCCTTTGGTTTTCTTGTTTGAATTGTTTTACATGTGTCATTTCGGGGCCTTCTATGCCTTCTGACTATGCGGTACGGGTTTTACTCATTGTTGAAGACCGTACGGTGACCTTTAGTTGTTAATTTCTGTGTCATCTGGTCTCTTGTGGAGAGTTGTCTCATTGGCAATCATACCACATCTTCTTATTTTTATATTAACTTTGCTCATTTGAAAAAATGCACCTCCTAAAAGTATGCTTGGTGTCTTTACTATCAATTATACAAATTTCTGCACCTCCTAAAAGTATGCTTGGTGTCTTTACTATCAATTATACAAATTTCTGCATCAATAATTGAATATTTTCCCCACCAAACGCAATTAAATAGAGCACAGTGCCAGGACATCATTTCATCACCATCAGATTATTTCGTTTAAAAAAAAATCGTTGTTATATACCTCACCAGGTAAATATAACGTATTGATGAAAGTGTAATCAACAGAACGATTGTTATTTTTCCGTTCTGATAAAACGTAAACAGACTATCCAGAACGATATTAGAACCCACGAAAACCTTTGGTTGCTGTCTCATAAACGTCTATCTCGTATCTCTTTTATTGGAAGACATTATGGTGTGTAGGGTTATCCTGCAATGAAAGTTTCTGTGCTGGCTATTTTGTCGAATCAAAACAAAAACAACATACATGTGCTTTGAAAGGTTGTTTCTTTGTACCATGTGACTTTGTATATTTTAAAACTAAGTAGATTTCCTGACGTCAGTATAGATTTGCATAATAATTTCCCAAATTGAAGGTAAACATGGCCTTGAATAACTGACCAATCGACACAATGAACTACAATGCATTGTGGGCTATTACGAGTTTACTACCACTTAAAAACACGTGGAATTAGTGGGAAAACTGTCTACTTATATAGTGTCTGGGACTCTCATAATAAATAATTTTGTTCCGCTAATGTAATAAATGTAAAATATATAACATAATCTTCAATATACATGCTCAGATTAAAAGAAATATTATTTACTTGCTACACGATTCGACTTTCTTTTTCGCCTTGTAAAAGGAGTTGAACAGGTTTTGTCCATTGTTATGCATTGTACCTTTGAATTAATTTCACGTGAAACAGTAAAATTTCCAATGAAGTGATCATTGTCCAGTATAAAAATCATTTGAGCTCTGAAACCTGTCAAAACGGTTTGAAGAAACGGATAACACGTCTCTCTTTATATATGCTCTTTGAATTTTTGTATCCTGTGTAATGCCTTTCCAAAAACATTGCTGCTTCGAAAAACACAAAGAACATGGCGCTGAAACACTGCTTAATTTCAAGCATGTTTTCGTTGTGCCGTTGCAGGCCTCCAGGCAATATGGAAGCAGACTTATCTGCACTGGATGTGCATTTTTTTTTTATCAGAACCTGATTTAAAAGTAAGTACATCATATTCAGTATTCTAAAACATTCCAAAAAAACTGAAATATGCCAAAAAATTTATTTTTATAGATTTTGTTAACATTGTCAGACAAGAATTAAGAAATGTCTTGAACAGTTTCGATGAATTATGGGAACGAACTGTGCGCCTCTCCTTGTCGATCTCTTCTTATTTTTTTTATATGAGTCGGAGTTCCCTCAGACATTTGTCAAAAACAAGAAGATCAAAGAAGCCAGATCATTTAATTTCACATTCAGATATATTGATGATGTTCTTTCCATAAACAATCCAAACTTTTCTGATTGGGTTCCATTAATATATCCTCCAGAACTAGAATTTAAGAGAAACAACAGACACGGCTTCCTCCGCCTCATTTTTAGACTTATACCTCGAATTTGACATAAGCGGTTATCTCAGTACCAGAATCTATGACAAACGAGACGATTTTAATTTTGAAATTATCAATTTCCCCCACCTTAGTACATGTAGCAATATAACAACTTCACCTGCATATGGGATATACATTTCCCAACTCATTCGGTATTCAAGAGCTTGCAGCTGCTACTCAGACTTTGTAAAACGTCACCAGTGTCTGAGCAGAAAGTTGATGAACCAGGGTTATGTCAAAGAACTTGTCGTCCTTTTTCTAAAAAAGTTCATCGGAAGATAACAAGACCTTGTTGATAAATATTCCGTATCAACTTCACAAATAATACATGATGGTCTTGATGTATTATAGATTCTAGGTACTGACGTTGTTTATTATCTTAATTACGTGTTCCTATAGTGATCTTTTATTTGTCTTTGTACATTATTAACGTTTACTCTTTGGTCCATTTGTGTAATATCCTTTCGGCGTGGTTCGGTACTTGTACATCCCGCCATTGTGTTGTGCTGTGGTCATTTTTTGTATTCTTGTGTTTCATTTTTGTGTATGTGCTTTGTCTATATGCCATTTTGTTTTTCTTTGTTGACATATTTGTTTGTTTTTATAGTGATTTAGATTATAACACTATGTTGACTGCTGTACCCCTATTTTTGACATTTTTACCTATTATGT